TGGTGGGTCCAATCCTTTCAAGTAGCGATCCTTGCATGAAGCTTCCATAGATGGAGAGTTTTTTCAATGTAGATGGGTTATAATCCATTTGCATCTTTCCACACCTGCTTAGCTCTAATTCTTGAATGAGTGGAGCCCGTGGAAGAGTAGCCACAAGCTGTTGGCAGAATCTAATATTTAGTTTCATCAAACAAGGAAGTTGCTCTGGCAAGTGCTCCTTCAGCTTAGGACAATTATTTATGTAAAGCTCTCGAAGACATGGAAAAGCACCCGTCACAGTTTTACATTCCCATTTCTCCAGTTTCCTCATATCTTCAAGGACTATGGTTTCCAAGAAAGGCAACAGTCCAAGCGAAGGTAACAAAGCACAGCTTTTACACTTACTCAACTTTAATGACACCATATTCCACAATGAGTTATCTCCAAACCAGCTTGGCAATTTTGTTCCGCCATAGTTCTCCACTGATAGCCCTTTCAAGTATTTGGAAGGTTGTAGTTCCTCCAGTATATCATTTTCTTTCTCTGAAACGTCATCATTCTCACTCCAGTTTAACTCCAGCCTCACAAGGTGAGTTTTACTCCTAAAATTTGCTTTTGATACATCCGAGGGATTCACAATATTCTGCATCTCTGAAATGATCAAGTCTCCACGAAGATCGAGTTTTTCTAGGTCCTGGATATTGAAATTGCTGCCATTGTCCACACAAAAAGAACTCATCAATACTTGAAGATTCTCTAATTCCCCCAAATGCATTGGCATCTTTCTCAACTTAGTTTTTCTTAAATCGAGGTGACGCAATTTAGTGAGTTTATGCAAATTCAAGGGCAGCTCTTCCAATGCTTCACAAGAATGCAGCTGCAGTATTTGTAAGTTATAGAGCGAACAAGTTGAATCAGGAAGCTTTGTTATTTTGGTATGAGAAAGGTCTAGAGAACGAAGATGTTTAAGATTAAATAAAGATTCAGGCACCTCTGTAAGACTCCATTCTTGCGAAAAAGATAAGACACGTAGGAACCTGAACTTTGAGCACAAATCATCTATCGAATTCGTACATATCCACGAAGAAACATAATATGCATTTTTCGGTAAAGGTAGAAATGTACGTAACCTAGGTTCATGCAAACCCTTAAACCCGCGGAAATGTTCAATGCCGCGACTTTCAAATGAGAAATGACGTGTCTTCTCAGATATAGTTGGTGCTTCTTTCACTTCTAATCCGATACAAGAATCCCCGCTAACATAATTTACCAGGTCATTGAGAAGGTCGTGCATGACATAACACGTTGTTGTATTGTCCCTACTTCTTTGAGATTTTTGAAAAAAGGACCTTGATAACATATCATCAAAGTACTGTGCGCCAACTTCTTCCATACTCTTACTCTGTTGGGGGCATTGGAGAAAGTTTTCAGCCATCCATAACAGAATAAGATCCTCCTTGTCAAACTCGTAATCTTTTGGGAACAAAGCACAAAAAGCAAAGCATTTCTTGAGAGCAGAGGGAAGGTGGTGATAGCTCAACAACAAAGCTGGGATAATATTGTTATGTTCTTCTGGTAAGCTCCATATCTCGCTTGTCAGTACACTTTCCCATTCCGAAACCAACGATTTTGTGTGTAAGAGACTTCCAATTGTTTTCAAGGCTAGAGGCAGTCCTTTGCATTTTTCAACCAACTTCATACCTATCTCCTTAAACTCGGGATCCAATTGAGAATTTTCATCAATGAATGCATGTCTAGCAAGCACTTTCCAGCAATGATCTTCTTGTAGTTGCTTTAGGTGATGTACTTTATTTGACTGCATGGCTAAAGCAACTTTCTCACTGCGTGTCGTCACAAGAATTTTGCTTTCTTTTGCCCCGTAATTAAGAGGAGTTTGCAAAGCTTCCCACAGGTCTCGTTTTTCGTTCCAACGTCATCCAAAATGACAAGAAATCTCTTCCCTTCCAAATTTTCTTTCAATCTTCCATGAACCATTTCTAGGTCTCCACTGTCATCTTTTGACTTTGTGATTGCCTCAAGAATTGCTTTTGATAGCTTAAAAACATCAAATTCATCTGAAACACAGACCCAAGCTTTGGTATCAAATTTAGCCTCCTCCACCTTTGAGTCATTGTATACATGTTGGGCAAGCATGGTCTTACCCATCCCGCCCATACCCACAACAGAAAGTATTGAGGGATGGTTACCACTCCCACTGTCAGATATCATCCAATTAAGGATAATTTCTTTGTCATAATCTCTACCATAAATAACACTTCCACCCACCAAAGATGTTGAAGCCAATTTTTTTGCCCCTTTACTACCTGATCCAACGCCAGAATCTCTAGCCTCTTTCAAACCTAGATCATCCTTTTGGTTTGCAAGATACTCTAGTTTTTCAAGGATTTGTTTCATCCTGGTTTCAATTTTCTTATCGAATGAACTGACAGAATAAGCCTTGAAACGTGTCCATACCTTGCAAGTACAGGTTTGAGATTGAGATTCAGAATCAGCTTCCAATTCACATTTGGAGATTTGATAGTCTATTTCATCCAAGAAATCCTCTGCATCAAGAACAGCTTCATTGACATCAACAAGCCATGCTTTGACAGCAACTTTGGCAGCATCTCTGACTACAGTGACCTGCTTTTGTTCTGCATCATCTACCAGAGCATTGATGCACAGCAGCTTGAGCTTCAGTCTGTTCAGCAGTTCCTCGTCAAGTTTTCTTCTTCGAAAGTACTCCAAAACTTGACCAGAAGTCAGCTTGTTAACTGCTGCCTGAATGAAAGCAGAAAGAAGAGCACCACCAATCAACTCCAATGCCATGCTATTGATATGATGAGGGAGTGATTGAATCGGAAAAAAGAAACGATTGCAAATCTGAAGTGCAGACTTAGAACTGATGATGAGATATTTCCTTAATGCTTTTCCTTATGGCTGATAATGCTAAACATCTTTTCCGAGTCATTCGTTGCCAGTCAACCAATAACTGTTGAGTCTTCCCCACAACACAAACCTTTCCAGTTGTATTCCACCAATGAATGAGTCTAGTCTGCTTCAATTTCTATTATGCACATTTTGCTTTTATGTTGTGTAAACACCTTAAAAATAAAGGTTAAACTAATCATTAATAGTAGAATGAAGATTCCACATATCCGTCATTACATTAACTTCTTATTATTCAGTAGATGCACCTATATTTTCAGTAGTAGAACATGAAAATACTCAAGTATTTTTATATATTCCCATTCATTATCATCTTATTTTAAAAATATCTATATAATAAAACATCATTTCAACATTCTCTCGCCAAAGTGTCATGCATTATAATGCATGCATGTATATCTATCTACTTATATATAAAAGCTGAAATACAAAATTGAGAAACTGCTATATTTATTCTCAAATAAGTTATTTACTAGAAGTATATAACATTAATTATGTTTTAAAAATATATTTATTTTTTATTATTAAAGAAATAAAAAATGAAATTAAGAAAAAAATTTAATAATAAAATAAATTATTAGTAAGTTTTTTTCTCTAATCTCACGTGTACATCCGCACATGAGATGCATAAATGTATGCATGAGAATGAGATTAGAGGAAAAAAACTGATAAAATTTTAAAGAAAATAATTTTTTAAGTAAGAATCAACAAAGCAGTTACATGCACTATAAAGATAATTTAATTAAAAGAAATTAAATTAAAAGAAAAAATCTTTTAAGTTTAGTTTATACTTAATTGGGATACATTTATTTAATTAAATTTTAACTGAAACTGAATTTTAACTTCCAGAAAAGAGTTTACATTGCACAAAATCTAGCGTAACACTGTTATATATAGGATCCTTTCATGCATAAACCACTTGAGAATGATAAATCATATATCAACGTTCCAGCTTGTCACGTAATTAACAAAAGTCTAATTTATTATTTTAGTTTTAGTTTTCTTCACCTATTCTTTAATCTAAAATTTATTTTGAAAATTGGTCTCAACAGATTAATAACTTAGCCGAAAATAGTTTTCAAATAATTATAGGCAGTGATTTTTTCGTACATTCAACAAATATTATTAATTAATATATTATTATTAATAATAATAATAAAGTTTGAATAAATAAACACATGCATAGCATCTAAACACAAAATGTACTCTCAATTTATGCTATTAATTTAAATTATTTTAGACACTTATATTATTTAATAACTTTTTATAAGATTCACTAATCCAACTGTTAATTCAAAAAAAATTATTAAATAAATTAATTTTATAAAATTTTATAAAAAATAAAATTAATAATTACCTTATCGCATTATATTATTTTAATGGATATTTTATTTTTAAAATATAAATAAATTTTAAATAACATTTTTATGCACATTCAAATTATGTAACATTTGATATACATAATCATAAAAATAATATAAAATAATATAACATTTTAAACACTTATATTATTAAATAACTTTTTATAAAATATAAAATTCATCATAATTTGAAAATTTTTATCAAATAAATCAACTCTATAAAATTTTATAAAAAAACAAAATTAATAGGTACCTTATTGCATTACTTTATTTTAAATGTTTTATTATTAAACTATAAATAAATGTTAAAATTTAAATAACATTTATATATATTTAAATTGTGCAACTTCTAATATACGTAATCACAAAAATAAGATAAATAATTTGACAATTAAATTGATTGATCTCACATTCAAAAACCATAAATCTTTAAGAAACTAAGCAATTAGTGAAACCAAGTGTTTATAAAATAAGACATAAGATAAACCACCCATCTCAAAATTAAGAATTGTATCTTATTACATACAAGTAAATATCATGTATTTTGCAATAATTCACGTGAGGATAACATACAAAATATTAGTCAAACCATGTATCTTAAGAAAATAAAAATATTAATATCATAAAATATTATCTAAAATAATATTTCTTAAAACACGTAAAATATTTAACTGAAAAACAACCTAAAGTGAGCAAATAAAGATAGATATACTTCTAAGATTTTATAAATTGATATCACGATCCACTTAAATGAAGATACACCCTTAATCATTTTTAAAATAATTTCACTTTAGGAGTCGTCCTGTAGAACATATTATTGCTAATGTAAATAATGTCTTGCCAACCTAACCGTAAACCTCAACTAAAAAAAGAAATCATTCACACCAAAAGGGGAGAAAAAAGTACAAATAATTAGCAGCACGAGAAAAGAACACAATTTATGTGAAACTTCTGCGGCAAATCAAGATAAGAATTTAATAGAAAGGGACCGAAATCAAAAGAGATTAAATTACAACTATAAAGGAAGAAAGCAATTTCCTTTTCTATTGAGGCATTTGAGAGTGTGAAGCCCCTGGCTGTGCACTTGGAGGAATCCCAGACTGATTTCCAGACTGCCATAAATAAAACATAATTTCCCTTCAAAATTGGACCTTCCAATTCCCAATACAAATTAATCATGCTTAATTGTATTTTTTTTAGTATACATGCAATTTGTGCCTCTCACCTCAAAATTTCATTAACTAATTAACAGAAATGTAAACTAAGTGATACTGTGTAGATTTGCAAAGGGAACACACACACACACAGAGAAAAAGGGAGCGGGGGGGATTCACTTAACCTAGGAGTAAGTTTTGTCTAACTTACTCTACTTATTAACTTTTTGTATACATTGTACATTGAATTCCATTAATCCAACCAGAAGATCAAGAAAAAATTTCATATTATATCAAAATTATTTGAACAGATCATCAACAAACTTTATTTATCGTATAATACAATATTAGCCATAAGATTACATATCTATGAATGTTCAATTGATGTAAAATTTAATATGCATGTTCATCAAGATGATCTCACACGATTTACCAATTAGATTTGTCAATTTTTTATTGTAGAAAAAGTTATTAAAATGAAGTCTCCAATCGACTACAAATATGTCTAGATAAAAACTTATGAAGGCAAGAAATCCTCGCCTAAGAGCTAAGTTCTGAAGTCGGGTTAGGCCTTAGTCCAAATTTAAGAAAAGAGATTAATTGTTCACAGAACTTGATAGCATGATATAACAATAAGTAGTTCATGAAGCAGCTTAATATCTTACCTGGTAAGGATTATACCCTTGCATCAAAGGCATTTGGCCACCTTGAGGTCTGTTGAATGAACCACCTTGAGGATAATTGGTATTTGACGGCCCTTGCATATTAGGCAAGTTGCTCGGAAAACCACCAAGTGGTGGGCCTCCACTTGTGGGCAAGGATCCTGAATGCATTTGATTCATGCCCACATAAGGACCTTGTGGCATTGGAGTACCCATCTGATTCATTGCCCCCTGCATCCCCTGAAGGAAATAAAAAAAAAAATCAATTGGTTCTATTAAATCTGCATTGAAATTAATTAGAGTACAACTACTTAATTGGTTGGATTTCTTAATAGACTCCCTCAAAAATGACATGTATTGGGCTATAGCATCCATAAATATTTCTCCCCTAACTAAATCATTTAATCATTTCCTTGTCACACAGAGGTCCTCTTAAAAACTTCATGCCCGGAATTCGTTAGTGGTTTAAATGTAGTAAAATATAATTAACTACTGCCCCTGAAGATGAGACAAGTACAGGAAGATGGCTTCTATTTCGTACTTGAGCATAGATGAGCATGTATCTCTTCAATTCTAGGAAGATTAAACATTTCCATTTGGATAACTACTTATTTAAGCACTTATTCAAAACACTCTTTCTGAAACAATGACTTATATCTTAAATTCAATGAAATTTATTGGAATAAGCTGAAAATATAAGTTGTTTTTCATAAGCTATTTATAAGCTCTTCCAAACAGACCCTAAGAAAGGCTGTAAAATATTAAGACATGTTTAGTTTAATAAAATATTTAGGTTTCATTTCTTATTTTCACAAATAAATACAAAAATGCCACATTTATTTCGCTTTATTTTTTGTTTTCAATGATTTGTACAAAAACAGTATTTCAATTCAAATCTTCAAAAACAGGAAACCGTGAGAATAAGGTGGCCATGGCACTTTCTTAATTATTTATTAAAACAAGAAATAAAAACAAAATTATTTCTTAAACCAAACAAGCCCAATGAACAACAAAAATAAGGGGAAGTTGGAGCTTCTAAAAAAGTGTGCAAACATTCTCCAATTTCCTTCCACAAGATTTTGTAGAAGATATTCTGGAAGATAAATTTTATCATGCTAACCCTGTGAATATAGATCAACTAAAACATCAAGCATCCAGCCCCCAACACCCATAACTAATACAACACTCAAACAATTTGCAACTTTAGGAAGAAGCTATATCCACATAATTTCTCTGTAATTTATAGAAAAAATCAGAACAAAAGAAAAGCTCCGAGGAACTCATACCATTGGACCTGGCATTGGCATTGGATGTGATGTAGGCACTGGTAGAGATCCTGGCATTCCAATAGGCATCTGGGGTGGTGGGCGAGGCAAATGTTGATGAGGGACCAAGGGTGAATGGGAAGGGTGCTGTAGCTGTGGCATATTTGGAGGTATAGGCAAAGGACCCATCTGTTGCGGTAGAGCTTGGTGTTGATGTTGTGGTATCTGCTGAGGATTCTGCTGGTATGGTTGCTGTTGGTTGGCAGTAAGAAGAGAGGGATGTGGACCTGGGGGAAGAGGAGGAGCACCCATGGAAACAGGAAGCGGCTGCTTCTGCTCCCCTTGAGACATGTCAAGAGAAGGGATAGACAAGGGCATTGCAACTCCAACACCTGGAATGGTACCCTCATTTCGAGTCAAACCAGGGGCAAATGGTCCTGGAGTTGTTGGGCCTTCAGCTATCGGAAAATTACCACCCACACGACCAGCAACAGGATTTTGGTCAGCATATCCTAACATATGAACATATTCAAACAAATGTCAGATATTTCATCAGTTGCCTTTCACAGCAGGCAGTGTTTCTAACTACAAAAATTGCCATCCACAATTCTCTTCAGCCTACAACAAAGAGACTTTAAATATTCCTATGTATACTTCAAGTTTAAAGCAAGAGTTTAACAGAAAGCATTAATAAAGTTTTATATCATCATAAAATGTTGAAGAGGAAAACAATTTAAGTCCATAAAAATATACAGTCCGATAATTAGATGAGAATTGACATCAAATATTTTGAAGATTCAAATCTATAGACAAGAAATAATATGTTGCTTCATTTGCCTCTAGGGAATTGAACAAACCTTGCATGCCAGTGTTAAATCTATCACGAGCAGTGTCTCCTGGCCTGTTTCGGCACCAAAACTTTGTTGTATGGTCACTGCTGCCACTGTAATGAAAGTCCAGTTAACTTAGGTTAGCTATTACTTTCTTCAGATATCAACAGATCAATTAAAGGATTGCAAAATGTCTATTTCAGGAAGTTATGTAGCTTCAAAATGTTATGTAAAAATTAAGATGCTATTATGGGTATTGGTACAGAAATTCTAAAACATTAAAACCAGAAAATCAAAAAGGATCGTGAAACAACTAATGACGTCCATCAGTGTTTCTTCTCAAAGAGCATCAGTATATAGTGCTTTGGAATTTGGAAAACATTTGGAATAAAAGAAAAAGCTACCCAATTTAGTATTAACAGAAAAACAGGTATGTGGAACAGTTAGCTTCAGAACAATGGGCATGCATAGCAGAGAAGAGACAGTGAAAGAAACCCAATCAGTATCATCAGATGCTATTGGAGAGTGTAAGAGAAAGTTTCACCTGCATAGAAGGTATCCAATAGGATGCCATGCAAGATCCCACACATTGTTATCATGAGCATTGGAAATCTCAATTTGTGGAGTTTCATGCCTGCAAAATATATATATAATAATCAGGATAAGCAACACCTACTATCCAAATTTCTGAAGGGGGGTGGTTAATCAACAAAAAGTATAATACAAAAAATTACAATAAGAATCAAGCCTTATCCCAATAAGTGAGGTCAGTTACATAGATCATACAACACCATTGAGTTCAGTCAAAAACCAAATTTGTGAAAAATTGGTTAATCAAAAGGTCATTTTTTAATAACTTCGTCTAAAGTTCTTTTAGGTGTCCCTCGACCCCTTTTTACTAGATTAAAAGTCATATAATCCACTCCCCTCACCAGTGCGTCTAAAAGTCTTATCTGCACACATAACCAAACCACCTTAGACGGTTTTCCGTCATTTTTTCCATTATAGGTGTTACTCCAATATTCTCATGTATATTATCATTTCTTGCAGAAAATGTTCAAAAACAATATGAAGTGAGAATTATGAAATATCATCTTTACCTTCAGGTTAGTATAAAAAATGGTATAAAATTTTTCTTTTATTAGACCTACCAATTTAAGCTTTCTTATCATATTTATGAAAATTCAACGCATTGGTGTGCTACAACTAAAATCAAAATTAGCTGATTTTTTAATCCAATCCCAATCAGCCAAGCACTAGCTCAAATTCGGCAGGGAAAATTAATGGAGCAAAATTCAATATACATTAATCCAAAGACAAAGTCATTGATAGTTTGTCCTCTATTTTAGTAGAATGAATATAGTTAATTAGATTGAGTCTAATCAACTACAAAATATATGAAATTAACACGACCAAATAAAACAAACTTCGTAAGAAAACTAAAAAAAAAAGGTAAGATGAGAAAAAGAACATGGTATAAAATAATGTAAGAACAAAGAAGACAGAAGTAGGAAAACGAATTTACCCAACAAGCCAATGGAAGATGGAACCGTCATAACTCCCACTGACAAAGTACTCTTCATGGAATGGATGCCATGCCAAAGCTAACAAAAGAGTCAAAGTCATAAAAATCATTCCTCTGTCAAAGTTGCAGAAGTATTAAAGAAAATGATCATTTGCCGTACAGTTCTGGCAAACACTACACTATCCAGTAGGAAAATGAAACATTGACCACGTAATCAACAATTTAAGGAACTTTGTGCATGATTTCATGCCAGTGCCATTGAGAATATTATAACCACCAAAATATGAAACTGGCAAACTGCATGCATTACTTGCTTAGAAATTAAAAAGGTTGCATAACAATATGCACATTGCTACTTGCAACAGCCAATACATTATGAAGAAAAGCACACAATTAATCCATAGAAATACGGAAAACAGAATTTTAAAATTGGTGTGATTGCTGCTTCGAATAAAGTAGCACATAAAAGTGGCAAGTGCTCCAACGATGGATAAAATTTGCTTCCTCATTTAACAAATGTTTAGCTAAAGTTCTCAGAAAGGTGTTTTGCTGACAGCAATTTTACCATGGTAACTGACACTAACAAGGTTAGGCATAGTCAAGGCATGTATGCAAAGGAAGGTAGCAGATGAGACAGTTATTAAATTCAAGAGAATGATGCAACATTTTAGTACAAAAATAGAATATATAATAATTTACCTAAATAACTCAGCCATAACTAGATAAGAAGATTAACTAAACTGAAAATCCAGGTCATACAATTAACACATCAAGCAAAGCAATACAAATGGAGGACATTTTCCACCAATTGAAATCAATCATTCTAATCAAACGTCAAATCAAAAAATTATAGTATCAAGTATATTGTATTTTACACATCATTCAGAAACATCCTTGCTTTGTCCACAGAACTGTTACACAACAATCATTCACTATGTAATAGTTATTGCACAATATATTAATTTAAAGTAACTCTCTTCCCATTCCTATTCCCAGAAAAAGACATGTCACTTACCAGTAACATCTTTGCGATGTCCACGGAATGATTCAAGCTCCTTCATAGCTCTTATGTCATAAAGCTGCAAGTACAGGGTATATATGACTGTTAGTACCCTGGAATGGGGAAATATATAATAAGCAAAAAACAAAACATATGTATCAAAGCAGGATTAAGTAAAGGGAACAAAGCAGGGGTAATGATAGCAAAAAACTGGAAGTGACAAAGCAACAAAGCAGGAATAAATCAAAGGGCAGAGTGATTGGAAAAAAGACACAGAAAGATTGATTGGTAGGTAAAGTCCAACTCAAAACCCTCGGATTTGGATAATAATCCAAAAGAGAAAAGACAAGCAAATGTCTGTTAAGGAACCACCAATTTGAATGATGAAGATATGTTTACCAACCTTTATTATCTGATCCTTTGAAGCTGTTAACACCCAGTTGCCATTTTGATTCCATTTGACACAGAGCACAGTATTTTTGTGGCCATGACTACATGAGAGAAGTATCAATCTATAAACATAAAGAAACAAATGAAGCAATAGAAATCAAAACTTAAATTTACACTCACAATGAGCAAAGCTCTCTCCCTGTTTTAGCATCCCAAAGTTTCACAAGATTGTCCTTCCCACCTGTTTTGTGAAAGTCAAATGGGATATGTATTAATATTACATTATTGAATTTCACAATCACAAAATTTCATAAATGAAATATTTAAAACACCTGATACTAATAGGGATTTTGTAGGATGCCAATCAACACTCTTCACATCCCAACCATGGCCTGGCTGAGTTCAAATGCAACAATAATAAATCCAAGGTTAGTTCTTAAAAACCAACAAAAGAATAGTCTAAATAAACAGCGCAGATTTACTACTTCAAATATCTGTATCCAGCAGCCAATTCCACAAAAAGCTGAGTAATCACATCAAATTGATTGGCTTAGAATAACAGTAATGGAAATATAAAAATCTAAAGAAATAATTGAGTGTTCAAGAAGATTGAAAGATGGAAACCTTTGGACAATGATCTAAATATTTAGGACAAACATAATAATTATATTGACCCCATCTCATTTTGTGCTTTAAAAGTTTCCCCATGCAAATAATGTTAGACTTTAATGACTATAATGGCATTTGACTATTTCACATACGATGAAAAAAGTTTTTCTAACAGATTACACAACAAAGTGTTCTTTTTCAGTAATCCAACCCATTGTGGTTTTGAAAATGTTTAAAATTCAATCATTGTCTTTATTGAAATTATCAATGTTCTATTTATACTCTAATATGTTGAAAATTGAAATTTAAAAATAAAAATTCCCAGTCAGGCACAAAAGCTTTCACTCCAAACATTAGTATAACACACTTTATAAACAATAAAAGGGCCATAGTGCTAAAACATCAAGCAAGGGGTTCATTTTTGAAATGTTTGACTCCACTGGAGATCGTAGGATAACTCCTCCAACCAAGTAATAAATTGATAAGTGTACCAAATTTTAAGCTTAATTTAAATACAGTGAAATTATAAATATAATTGACTATAAATTTGCACAAAAAGTGGGATAAGTCTTCTTTGTTTTGTATAAATTTGCACAAGAGAACCAGTAAAATTGAAGCTTTCTCTGCACATAGCAACTCAATCTTGTCCCTCCCCATCAAAATAGGTCATCCACATAGGATTTGTTCAAAGCACAATGACTAATGTGAGATTGGAAGAATTTGGCAAGATGCCAGCACAAACTGATGGAGGCAATTGATGCGGCGAATACCTTTTACAATTAAACATATCATCTGTTTCCAAAATGTATGATTCCTTGACTATTGACAATCCACCATCCAAAAACAGAAAAGGTTGACATTAAGGCTTTGTTTGGGAGTTTAGAGGGAGAGGAAAGGAAAGGATTTGAAGGGAGAAAGAGGGGAAGGGAAGGGAGAGAGAAGGAGGTTAAACCCTTCCCTTGTTTGGATGTTTAATATTGAGAAGGGAAGGTGATAGGAGATTTAATTATATAAATAATTTTAAAATTAATATTTTTATTTTTTAAAACTTTTTTAAAAAATTATCACTTGAAAAACTAACATTTAAAAAAAAGTTAAAAAAATCCTATTTATAAAATAATATGAAAGAGTGGGAGAGAGAAAACTCTCAAAATGGAGGAACTCAAAAAACAAGTTTTTAGAGAGTTTTGGAGGGTTTAGAAAAACCCTCAAAACCTTCCCCTCCTAATTAAGCAACTCCCAAACAAGATTAATCCCCTTCCCCTCCCCTCTTAAACCTAACTTCCAAACATAGCCTAAGAGATTCAAAGTCAAGCACTTGCTAATTAGGAAGACTAAAATAAAGCATAGAAACTAATAACTAATTGAGGGGCTTGCACCACATATCAGGAATTAACAAAATATTTAGGTATTAAGAACCCAACAAATCCATTAAATACAATATTATTAGGATTTAGTTTAAGGACACCAAGAAGATTAGAGATGGAGGGAAACTAATTCACAGATCTGGTCCATTCAAAGCACATTACCAGTTAATGAACACTCTTCTTGACAGCGTGCAAAGTCCCAAACTTTAACTGTGGTATCATCAGAACATGAACAGAACTTCAAATCTGTCCTACAGAAACTGTTTATAAAAGAGTTACAGACCTTTCCTCTCTACAATTTTATATATAGTTTTTTATTTCAAAACAAAGTATCTACCTTAAGTCACGGACTGATTCTTTATGAGCAGATTTGTTGGCTTTAACATTATTCATGTTGTTCTGCCAATACCTAGGAAAACAACACACATACAAATACATCAGTTAGATATATGTTTTTTACCACCAAAATCTACATACATGCAATATAAAAGCTTATAAGAAACAACACTATATTAAAATATATATCTACTTTATTGCGCCTCCATCATCACCAGAAACCATCCAGTTGTCATTGTGACTCCAGACCATGGATCTGATTGCTTGGTCATGAGCCTGCATATGTTTCAAAATCCACCTTTGACTTATATTTTCAAACTACTGATGACTACAATAATAGCATCAGGACAATAATTAAAGTTATGTACCTGAAGAATCATTTCAAAATTAAAAGACTGTCCATTCCAAAGAGTGAATTCCCCAGTCTGTGAGCCAGTAATAAGACGCCGGCCTGTTGGAGTCCACTATTTTGAAAATTAAACAGTAGTGCAGCACCACAAAGTCAAATGGAATCCAGTGGCAAATTCAATTAATTAAAAATGCAGAAGTAACATTTTCCTAAACTAATTGAAGGATCTTAGAGAAACAAATGTGTACATCACAAACTCAATATAATGCAGCATTGTGGACAAAAATCTCACAATAAAACAACACCACAATATGTCAGATTATATAGTGTATAAAGCAATCAAACAATTTGCTAAATGAAGTAGGTAGGCAGCAATTGGTAACAGTAGAGTATAAAGCAATCAAACAATTTGCTAAATGAAGCAGGTGTAGACAGCAATTGGTCATAGTAGCCTAATTCATCCAATTGTAAAGGTAAGCCATTCTTATATAATAATAACTGAAAGGCAGCACGTCAGTGGCAACCACTGAATTGAACAGGAACCACATTCAAAATGTAATTTTGCTAATTAAGTGACATTGACCAAACAATATCCGTTGTTATTCAACCTTAAAATCATGAAGACTGAAGTAATTGTGTTTTCAGTTTTGTTAAACAAATTTCTAACGATTATCCACTGTCCAGACTCCAGATGAACCACTTCCCAGGGCACAAGTTCTGTCTGACAATATAATTGCATTCATTCAGCACCAAAAGTTTAGTCTTCATAACAGTTGTGGACAACATGGAATGATAGGCCAGTAAATTTGGCTTACAAAATTTTATGTAATCAGATTTTCAAACAGGCCCCTCACACTCATCACCAATTATAAGTTAACAAAATAATATCTTGAGGAAAATGTATAATTCTCTAAGGCTCAAGGCACTAGAATTACATACAAAACCAATACCTTTTCCACAAGGTGGGAATGGATGCAAAGATCAAACATGCCATAATCCATTATGAACATGTATGTAGACAAACCATTGACCTCTTAATCCTTCTCGGTCTCCCACTACCTCTAGCCATAAAAGGCATAAAGTCACTTTCCATCTGATCCACTTTGTTTACCAGGGACTTCTATAAGTCTTCTCCACACATGGCCAAATTTTCTATTTCTAAAATAAGAGAATTATGTAATATTTATAAATAAACAGAAGACTGTCCTCCACTCTTTTATTCCTTTATTCCTAATCTATCACTTTATTCCTTTATTTCAAAAAAATTGTCAAATTAAAGAATAATTATTAAAAGAAATTGCCCTCCACTCTTTTACCCTCAAAAACTCAACACCCAATCACACCCTAAGGCAAGATTCTATCAACTTTTCTACAGCAGGTGCTACCTCAACTTTATCTCTAATGCGTTCATTCCTAATCCGATCTTATCTGATATGTCCTCTCAGCCAACACATCATTCTCATCTTTGCTACATTTAATTAACTCTCTTGTTGGCCTTTTATCACCCAAACACTAAACTCTGTACATCACAATTCACAATCTTATAACTGTGCAGTAAATTTTCCTATTAAGCATTAGAACTACATGTTTTGACTAAAAACACTAAAAATGCATGAGTTCAATTTTTATGACAAGAAAATACCAAACCAAGGAAATTGTCATAAACAATGAGTTAAAGAAGAACACTCCAATAGGAACTAGGCACCTTATTAAGAAGAATTAGGGATGAACCACAATTACAAAACACACACTGCAGAACTTCAAGGGTCTGCACCTCCCAATGCCATAAAGGCCCCAATTTCCTTTCACAAATCACTTCCCTCCCTCTTTAATCTCTGCTCTTATTTACAGGCAACATGCCTTATTCAAACTAACTAACCAACTAATGGGTAACTAACTAACTTATTTTAACTATATACTAATGGGGGTTAATTAAGTAATCTATTTTGACAAACTATAAATGGGGGTTACCTAACAATACTCACCTCCCTAAAATACATAACTCCACCAGGGTCCCACTGTCTAAAGCATAAAAATTGACTGCCTCTTTTCTCCATAGCTAGATATGCAACAGTAGCATGATTTTCCCCATGAAGCACAAAAATGAGTTGTGGCCCAAAATCTTGTGAAGTGACATCTTTTGAATATTGCCCCATCCCTATAATTTCTTCAAAAGCATCAATTGTACAGCCAAACTTGGCAACTATATTATGCTCCCTTCCCACTCTTGTTGCTGCTGTACTAATTGGACCTTCATTTTGCTTCCGTACACATCCCAACAAGAACACAACATAGGCAAGTTTTGTTGAATTCTTGATCATTTTAGTAGTGACATGGCTGCTAACCCTCAATCTCATGAATTTCACCTGTCCTGGGAACTTCCAATCTTGTCCATGCTCCCTTCTCCTCACTAGATATGCTTTGGCCATAAAATTGTGGAATGACGACATATCTTCCTTCATCTCCATCATTGGAGTAGCTTCAGCCTCCACGCATGAACCACAGTCCAGTGGTTCAGGTAGGAGCATCCTGTTTGCCTCACTTGAGGAGCAAAATTTCATTATAGCTGTTGATCCACCCCACTTCATAGGAGAAATTGAATCACATGGGTTTGGCAAAGGTGGTGGGATGTTCATACTGCCCAAACCCAAACCCTCAATTGTTTTCATTGGATCAGTCCTAGGCTTTCTGCTCATGCCAAAGATAGGGCGTCCCTCGATCTTTGTCTCCTCTTTGCAACCTAGAGAGAGACCCCTCCATTTGTCAGCCCTGCCACTGTGATTCTTAATTTCAAGAACTTCATTTTTCCTTTGTTTTCTAATTCTTTGTCCAGAATTTTGTTGGGTTTCTCCCAATTCTTGTAGCTTTCTTGTGTTCATTTCATGTCCTTGAGCAGCTGGTTGTATTTTCTCTAAGCCTTCATCTTCTCTGTTTTCTTGCACCCAAGAATTGTCATCTTTGCTTCTATTTCTTGGCTTCCCATGCTCTTGTACCTCTTCCCAGACTAGTTGATCAAAATCATACTCTGGTTGGAATCTTTTCATCAATGCCTTCACAAATGTCCACCAGTCTACACATGGGTTGCACCATTCCCATATTAGCCACCAGTTGAGAGCATCACCTCTTAGAGCCTATGCTGCCTTTGATAACTGTTAAGAAACTTGAGCCTAACTTACTCCCAAATGCTAGCTCATAGGAGGAGAACTACACTAGCCCTTATAAGGAGTATTCTGACTCTATTCCTAACTAATGTAGGACATCTTAACAAACACCCCCCCTTACGCTCAGAACTGGACATCTAGTGAGTGAAATTTGCAGGACATTTGCATAGGTGGACCTAACTGGACTAAACATCTGTGGACAATCCAACATTCAAACTGAATAGTCTTTTGATACCATGTTAATAGAAAAGGAAACGAAAGAACATTGAGTGAATCCGTGTGTCTCAACTACACAATGGAGCATATATTTATACTAGGAGCATTGATATAATAATTAATTACAGATATATTATGGTTACCTAATTACCATAATAACAGGAATACATTTCCTTAAATGCAACATATCATCTCCCTAATTACAGCATTACTATAATTACATGTTTCCATATTTACATATTTCTAACAATAAATTCTCTTCCTCGTGCATTCCAATAGCTTCAAAATAATGCTCAACCTGGATCCACCACCAATAGGCCTCGTTTCCATGAAAAGTTGGAATCATCTTCAAGAATTCAATACCCACAGCTCCAAGATCAGAGCTTTGATACCAGTTGATAGGAACAAGGTATCTTATTAAGAAGAATTAGGGATGAACCCCTATTACAAAACACACACTGCAGAATCTGCACCTCCCAATTTCCTTTCACAAATCACTTCCCTCACTCTTAAAATCTCAACTCTTATTTATAGGCAACATGCCTTATTCAAACTAACTCACTTAACTAACCAACTAATGGGTAACTAACTAACTAACTTGTTTTAACTAAATAATAATGGGGGCTAACTAAGTAATCTATTTAGAGTCTTAGACAAAATACTAATGGGGGTTACCTAACACACACACTAACTGGATAACTATTTTATTTTATATTTGCTGAACTGTCAGTAGCAAATTTTACCATTGACACACATAGTTGAAAACATTGGAAATCATACAACACTATAATTTTATTTCCCTAATATAACAAATCAATTCAAAATGAGAAGCAGTTTCTGTTTAGAAATGTTTAAATACAGCTGAAAAACACGCAGCAGGTGCATCTGTAACTAATAATCAGCATAACATATGACATCATGCTAAGCAAAACATTTCAATCTAACTTACAAGAACCCGATTAATAGGACAACGATTTTTATTTAGAGATGTATGAACAAATTTAGCAGCAAAGCTTGTGGATGGATTGTCTGGATAGCCAACTGCTGGCAACATCTGCATGTAAAATAGCATAAGGTTATTATCTAAGGAAACAAGTTGATCATTACGATAAAAAATTCTTAAAATCTATCAAGTTGTTCTATTAGAATAAAAGGAAAAGAGAATACAAACTTAAAACAAATAAAAAGGTATAAAATCAAAAAGAAGCTCACTGACATCAATTGCTGCTGCTGGGGTAGGTTGCAGTACTGTTCTATCCCTTGAATCCCGCTGCCACATACGAATCTGAAGGCAAGCAGAAACAGATTACACATAAATTCCAATACAAATACAGAAAAATGGGCATTTCCATCAGTTACAAAGCAGAAATCATTACCTGCATATATCGCACAACTGTGCTTGTATAATCAACTGCCTTTCTTTGAGTGAGTTTCCGTATTCTTTTTGCACCATGGCTGTCACTGTGAACTGCAAAAACCATTCATTGTTAAATTAGAATAGTCACCAAAAACCCAAACCCAAAATTTCCATGAATTTAAAGCTTATAGGTAATGAAGAAGATATATAAATTTAATGCCATCATTGCCATGAACTAAAACAACTTGAGGACAGACATTCTTCTTACATCTCAAGAACCATCTCCTACATGCAATAGAGAAAAAACAGTTTTCATTAAGAAAAAGAAAAGAAAAGAAAAAAGTATTCATGGAAGAAAAGAGTATATAATCTAATGAAGACAAGAGAAACCAAATATATAACAAAAAGAAAGGATTCAACAAATTAGCCTGATATGTCCACTCAAGTACTCAACAGAATGCCTGAGGGAAAAAACATCTCAAACATATATGGACAGAATCACAGAGAAATGGATCATTTACTCTATCCAAAGGGAAAAAAGGTTACAAAGCATGATTCCCATCAAACCACATAAATCAAGTCATGGTAAACATTCCGCAAGCTACATCTTCAGAATCAGAAGATTTCAATGAGCTTTTAAAACTTAAAACTTAAGCCTTAGCTACCATCTCCTCACATGAAAAAAACGCCCTCGGCAAGTGCTGCCCCAACTTTCTCCCTAACACATCTGTTTCTGTTCTTATCTTTCCTTCAAATCATCCATCTTGGGATTCACATTGCTGCTACACTTGTCTACTCTCGTTGCTACTTTACTGCCAAACATTCATTTCCCATCACCAAGCATCACCGTCATATAATTTGTTGATTCAACTTTCTTCTGTGTTTGGTGCATAAGTTATCAGCAAATACACATAAAGCATTTATTTATTTCATTCGCACAGCTAAAACCATAATCAATACATCCCCTTAATCACCCCTACCAATTTGCGGAGTATCTCCCTAATAGTCCAAGCACAGTGTGAAACCTAAATTTCACCTCTGAAGCATAGCTAAGTCACATCCCACATACTCCATTTCACTCCTAGTCAAAGTTTCCGTCCACAAACCAAATTCAAAATGTAATCCTTCACACAACTCACCAACAAGGACAATATCATACAAAAAACATCGAGACATTAGTTCATGGACGTAACGAGTGCATGCAGTATTCAACCAATCAAACATTGCTTTCATTAAATTGAAAAGTAAAAAAAGCGACACCCTCACACACAATAGCGCCACAAAATAAGTAGGGTTTATCTACCAAAATACAAGAAATCACAACAACCAGTAAAAAATCATAGCTAACAAGCGTTCACATTCAATTAAACTCCCTTCGCTCATCGATAATCAAAAGAAGGAGGAAGAATTGGGAGAAGAAGAAAAACCAAACCATCGTAATGAGGAGGAGGAGGGCCTCCGGGACCGAGATGGTGAAACTCGGGAGCGAGATTGGTTGACGAAGCGGAAGGCTGGCGCATCACTGGCGGCGGCTGCGACGGCGGCGGCGGTCCACGGTGGAACTCCGGGCCCGGTGGCTGATGGTGAAAATGTTGCTGCTGTTGTTGCTGTTGGTACTGGTGCTGGTGTTGGTGCTGGTGTTGGTGCTGGGGATCATTGTACATCATTGTCTTGGTGTGGGGAGAGAGAGTGAGTGTGGGAGTGAGGGACGAATGGAGAATTGGATTGCAGAGAAGGGAGAAAACCCTAAACCCCAAATTTTGGTTGAGAACTTGGGATTGGGGATGAACAAAGTGGTGCGGGAAAGAGAAAGACCGAGTGTGAGAGGACAAAATAGTAACGACACGTTTTGCACTTTTGCTCATATCAAATGTTAGCTTAATTGGAAAACATCAAAAGAAATATTTTCTTAAAATGAGTTTCATGTGCTTTGCTAATTTATTATCAAATTAAATTAAAAATGTAATCTTTTTAAAATTTTATAAATTTTAATTTTTAAATTAGAGTCTATATTTTTATTAGTAATAATAAATATTTTATCATATTGACCAAAACTTAATTAATGAAATAATTTTTTAAAAATTTAAAAAATATATAAACATTTTAAATATAAATTAAGAGTAAATTTTTAAAATTAAATATTCAAGAAAAACAACATGGCATAATATTTATACATTATTTTATGTGTAATTTTATTTTTTAATTAATTATTTGTATTTAATTTAAATCATTCAAATTATTTTCTTTTCTAAAACTTTTATCTAATTATTTGTATCTCATTTACTTGTTTGTTATAATTGAATCATGATATTCTACCAGTTAGAAATTATTTTTTTTATTTTTTCTTAAATAAAACATATTTTATTCAAGTTAATTAGTCTTTATTTTAAACAAATAATATGTAAATAATAACATTATTTTTTGTTTAAGCTAACAAATATTTGTTTAAGTTAGAAAATTTTATCTTTACTTAAGTTAGCTAAACTTCTACTATCGAGTTTAGTTAACTTGATAATTAGTTTCTTTTAACACTTAATTGATTAATATAAATTTTTAAAATTTAGTTTCTTTTTTATTTTTGCGTCTTCTTTTCTATTCTCTAAACTTTTAATTTTTTTTGCTATTTTTTCTATAAAAAAATAGTTTTCGTTATTTAATTTAGTAGTCAAGAAAACATGTTAAAGTATATGAGTCAATTTTACAAAATCAGGATTAATTAAGTGATATAAAAAAATTAACACATTTTGATTGAATTCTATAAGTTTATAAATATAATTAATTGTGTTAATCAAATATATAAAGGTTTTCATATGTTCACTTGATTTTGATTAAGATTTTATTCAACTTGTTTGAACTGTTGAATTAAAATATTAATTTTAAATTCAATAATTGAATTTTGGTACTTTCCTCTTTATTTTTAAATTAAGTGTTTAAATTAATTGACTAATAATTATGTTTTAAATTTTATTCTATTATTAATTTTATTAAATTCTCCTATCTTAAATAAATTATTTTGATAATTTTTATGAGACAACTCTAATTTTTTGCTTCATGTTATAATAATTAGGTTTTCAATTGGACATATGTATGATTGCAAATCATCTCTATTGAATTTTCACTCTAGATTATTCATTTCTGCTTAAGTACAAATTTCACTTAAGAAAATTTTGTTTTTTTAAGGTTTAGTCACTTATAAATATGATTAAGCCAATGCTAATTCTCACTTAAGTGAAAAAGAACTTAACACTTGACTCTTGCGCAAATTGGAGAAATTTTGAATTTTTTTTTTTTTTAAGATCAATATTGAAATTTCAATTTTATAAATAAATATTTTAAAATAAAATATTACATAAAATGGGAATTGAAATTATTTATCTAAAATAAAGAATTAAAATACAAAAAATTAAACTATTATGTCCAAACAAAGAATTCTAAATACTTGAAATTTCAATTACTTTATCCAAATAAACTATTTTGAAAATGAAATAAATTTAATTGAGAGCAATTCAAATTCCATATATTTTAAATATTTTGAAATGTTAAAAATCTGCCATCTAAACAAGAGAGTGTATTTGAACAGGGCATTTAAAGCAGGGAATTCAATTTTATAAGTTGAAATTCTTTATTTAGACGATAAATTAAAATTTTAAGAATTTTAATAAAGTAAAAACTAAAAAATGTATAATTCCTCCAGTATAGAGGGTATTTCAAATTCTGCAAGCAATTTACTCTCTTTGTAACGCCCCAGATATTTGTAATAATATTTTGATATATTAATATAAATGTGTGTAGATTGCCATATGTTTGTGTTTGATTTATATGATGATGATGTGGATATGTGTTATTGATGCATATCATGATGTGAATACATGTGTGTACGCACGATGGATGTGAATGTTGTTTGTGCATTGAGATTTGGATGTGTTAGGCTAATTAGAAATAGGTTAAGAGTATGTTGCAGGGGTCTTCTTTGCATTTTATGTTTTTCAATTGTCTGAGTGTGTGTGCAAGGTGTTAGAGAACTTAGAGTTCCTACAACACCAACAGTGAGTCTGGGTACACCACAGGCCACATATTTTCCTCTGACTCGACCTCTGACTAACACTTTTGCTTGGGGGCTCAGTACCGCACACGTTGTATCCATGAAAGGGAGCTATCTGGCGACTATTCATGGTGTGAACTGAGTAAATTCCTAAAGTTGAGGACATCAAGAATCTGTAATCACAGTGCCACAATGAGCGTGGCTAACGTGCAGTGAGCGCACGTAGGTATAGTTTAATGATTGTTGGATAGTGCAGTGAGTGCACCTATTTGTGAGTGAGAATGGAATCATGGAGTTAGCACCTTGTACTTGATGTATGATTTAAATTATGTTAAAAAATGTGTGGAATGGGTAATGTGAGACTCTATGCTTGTATATGTGTGTGTGTGATAGTATAGAGTACTCACCCTTACGTTTATTTTTAGGTGCCTAAGACAATCAGCACCGGGCTCAATGAAGGGATTGATGGAACTGTTATAGGACTTAAAAAGTTATTTTGAAAACTCTGATGTATTTAAAGTAGTCCTATAGTAATGATTTAATTCAAACTTGTAATTCATCCTTATTTTGAAAGACCTTTATGAAACTATGTATTGGAAACTGTTTGAATGAAATTTTATTTATTCCCATTTATTGTGAAATTTATTTATTTAGAAAATTTAAATTAAGATGTTACAATTTTGGTATCAGAGCAATTCATCCAAACCGGACTAGGGTATCAAGCTAAAGCATCCAAGTTATGTGTTGATATGTCTTTGTTTACTTGAATTATAAATGTTGTTATTGATCTAACGTGTTAGAGTGCGGTTTGTTAAACTTTTTGCTAACTTAGATTAGAATGGCCAGTAGAGGTAGAGGAGCTGGAATCACCAATGACTTCCTAGAGCGAATGACCCAAGTTATAAAGGCCTTGGTGCATAACCAAGACGAAGAGCCAGCTAAGTATAGAAGGTTGTTTGCCTTCACAAGGCATAATCCTCCGAAGTTTGAGGGGAAGTTTGACCCGATGGAACCCAGAAGTAGGTGGCAGATGTGGAGAAGATCTTCAATAAGATAGGGTGTCGGGAGGAGCACAAGGTGACCTATGCCATATACATGTTATGTGGGGAGGCGAAGAACTAATGGAGGTTTGCTGTTAGACTTTGCCATAAGAGGGTGGTTACATTCAATGGGAGACGTTCAAGGCAAGTTTTCTAGGGAATTACTTTCCCTGAGACTTGAATAAGTAGAAGGCTAGAGAGTTCCTTGAGCTAAAATAAGGGAATATGACAGTGGATGAGTATGCAGCAAAGTTCCAAAAGCTAATGAAGTACTAGCATCACTACTAGCATGAGGAAGGAGAGGAAGACCTGTGTGCTCAGTTTGAACATGGGTTGAGGCTAAAGATTTGTGTTGCAGTCAGTGTATTTCAACTGACTGACTTGTCTACTCTGGTGAGCAAGTATCAGATATTTGAAGCTAATTTTAAAGGCAAGACAATGGGGGAGTGGTCCAATAAGGCAAGAAAGAAGACCCCCTAGGTTTTCGAATGGGCTGTATTCGGGCTCCAACAATTCTCAGTCCAGAAGGACATCATCTCAAGAGAAAAGTTGTGGGAGCGACTCAGGTTCATGCTCTTTCAAAAGGCTGATCAAGTGCTTCAGGTGTGGAGGACCACACATGCTAAGAGATTGCCCACAGCCACGGACTAACTATGGTAATTGCGGAAAGTTGGGACACACTACTAATGTGTGTTGGGCTACTAAAAAGAGTGGTAGTACGAGTATAACCCAGAAGCTTGAATCGAGAGGAAGCACGGGCCAAGTACAGGGCCAAAGCCGAGTATTCTTGGGAGAGTCTTTGCAATGAGTGGGACAGAGGCTTCATAGTCTGAGGAGATGATAAGAGGTAAATGTGTTATAAAAGACAGATTGCTTGATTTTTTGTTTGACTCGGATGCTACGCACTCCTTTGTTTCTATGGAATGTGTGAAGAGTCTTAGTTTACACATGACTGAATTTCAGTGCAATGTTGTGGTGACTACCCTTACGGGTAAGTCGGTTGTAACCTCGTGGATGTGTTTGGGGTATCCAATAATAGTGGATGGGAGAGACTTTGAGGTTGACTTAATCTGTTTGCCTCTCTCAGTTGGATGTGATTTTAGGAATAGATTGGCTAGCTGCTAATTATGTACTGTTGGAATGTAGAGAGAATACGTTGATTTTTGGTGCGTCAACTTTAAAAATTCCAAGGCTTTTGAGCCAAGGTGCATGGGAAAACACAGTGAACGCTAAGGCTTTTATGGTCATGTTCTCAATGGAAGCCAAAAGTGGAGTAGAGCTGGAATACATCTTCTTGGTGAGGGACTTCTTGGAAGTTTTCCCTAAAGATGTTTTTGAGTTATCACCTGAGAAGGAGATAGAGTTCACAATTGACCTCATTCTAGGAGCAAGCCCGATTCCTGTGGTACCATACAGGATGTCACTGATGAAGTTGGCAGAGGTCAAGAAGCAAGTGGAGAACTTACTGCAAAAGCAGTTTGTAAGACCAAGTGTGTCATAATAGAGAGCGTCAGTGCTCCTAGTGAAGAAGAAAGATGGGAGCATGAGGATGTGTATGAATTACCGGCAGTTGAACAAGGTGACGATCAAGAACAAGTACTCTCTTCCCAGAATTGACGATTTGATGGATCAGCTGAGGGGAGCTGTAGTGTTCTCAAAGATTGACTTGAGATCAGGGTACCATCAGATTAGGATGAAGGATAAAGATGTTCCTAAGACGGCTTTTAGGACACGGTATAGTCACTACGAATACTTGGTGATGCCGTTTGGAGTGACCAATGTGCCGTAGTATTCATGGACTACATGAATAAGATCTTCCATGAGTTTTTGCATAAGTTTGTGATGATGTTCATTGATGACATCCTAATTCATTTGAAAACTCAGGAAGAGCACGTCGAGCACTTTGAGAATTATTTTGCAGATTTTGAGGGAAATGTAGTTGTACGCCAAATTCTCCAATGATGTATTTAAAGTTATTTTGAAAACTTTGATGTATTTAAAGTAGTCCTGTAGCAATAATTTGATTCAAACTAGTAATTCATCCTTATTTTAAAATACCTTTATGAAACTATGTATTGGGAACTGTTTGAACAAAATTTTATTTATTTCCATTTATTGCGCAATTTATTTATTTAAAAAATTTAAATTAAGGTGTTACACTCTTTACACTCCACTTGATTTTTACAAGGTAAATTTTAGATTATCAACTTGATTATACAAACCAAAACTTTTATCTATCAATTCTTACATGTGGAATTGGGCTAGTAGTTAGAATATTATGGTTCAAAAAAAGAGTTCTACCAGCGTTACTAAGGTGGTAAGTATTTTTTACAAAATGTATTTTAATTTATTTTCAATAACTACATTAAAATTATATTTTGAAATTTTCTTTGCAATACTTATTGAGATAGTTATTGTTGTTAGTCAAAGTAGGTTTATGAGAGAAATAAATAGAATGAAGATGCAAGAAATAGACATTCAAATATGTTATCATTTTGTAAATTGAGTATAAAGAGCTAAAAGAAAAAGGTAAAAAAAATTGTAATTTTACTCCACTTTCTTCTTTACTTCTTTATTTTACTCCATTCAATTAGTCATTCAAAAAGATAAATTCTACTTAACTCTATAAAATGAAAGGGTATTTTCTCAAATGATGAGATTAGTGATTTATTTGAAAAATACATAAATACTCTTTAATTTTTAAAGATATTAAAAAAATATCATATTCTTTTAGTCTAAAAAATATATACAATGGTATCATATAAACACTTTTTAAAGATCAACCTCAAAATCATCTTAAAGAATTTTTAAATAAAGAGATAAGAATGGATTAAAGTTAATCTATATTTTTAAGAGCAGTAACACCTCCACTAAAATTCTAAACCAGTAAATTCATATTTATAAGATTAGTAAAAATTATTAGGACTTAATAACTCTTAACCTTTTTCTTGTTAAGTTCCTACCCAATAGAGTCATAAAAAATCGTTCATAAAAGAAGTGCAATGATCGTCTGCAAGGAATAGCAAAATATGTGGGAGGAGTTTATGAGATTGCTTAGCCTCCAAAAAAAGGAAGATGTCATCATATGTGAAGAAAAATTGACTTATACTATCAAAGGCTCAGTCTATATTGATTTTTCTATCAATATTTATGGAAGAAAAATATAAAATAAATAAAATAAATAAAAAATTCAACTAAAATTAACTTATGTTGTTATATATTTTTTAAAATTAAAAAAAGTGCATAAATTAAATTTAACTTTTAAAAAAAGTTTTTATATCACTATCTAATTTTAATTTATAGGTTTTAATATTTAATTTGTAATGCCTTATATATTTTTTTCTCAATATATGATAAATCCTAAATGGTAAAGTAAATTTCTTTAAAAAAAAAAAAACTCTCTAATGAAAAAGAACAATGAAATGATATAAGGTTCATAGAGTAAAATTTTATTAATTTATAAGTACTTTAGAAAAACAAAAATTCTAAAATTTTCATCTGCAACAAAAAGAAATATTAGTTTTACAATTATTTCAAAAAAGTGCTGAAGAACTGAAAATATCCATTATATAACTTAAAATAACTAAGTTCTATAACAGTTTTCATTTATCCATGCATTGTGAGCCTGATACTGCTTGTCCTATTTTCCTGAAAATATTGTGTAAGGGTGAGTCTTTATCCTACCATTCCTACATAACATATATTCATCATAAAATATATCTTATCACGATTAAAGAAAACATTATGGTATTATATATCATAATGTCATATAAAGCAAGTTCTCATCTCAATACATAAACATATATTATATTCCACATATTCACAATTTTTTTTCATTTACCGGCGCTTACCGCACCCTGTGGTCACAGTTAATTGATGTCTCTATCCCAATGTCTTACACATCCATGTAAATAGTCGCTAGATGACCCAATGCAATACAGATACAATGCATGCAATAAACAGTCCCTTAGTAAAGGTAATGGTTAGGAGTCAAGTTGGGAAACGACTGTGGAGCCATGCAGTGTATTCATACATAATATTCTGTGCACAACCTCGAATGTCACTTACCACCCTGCATTTTTCCAAGATATTCTATATCGTCTCCATCTTCCACTCCTCCAGTGTATCTCTATAACTATTTACATCATATCCTTTTTCATCTCATACTCTTTCGAGTATATTCACATGTTCACATATATTATTTCTCATGTTTACACATATTTGTCATTATATTTTCATATAATTTTTATCATATACATCAAACCATGACATATTTACAATACACATTATTTTTACATGAACCACAATATATTCAAACATGAAGCATCCATCTCTTTGTATATTTCATATCACAAAATCATAAAATCATATCAACCATCCTCAATATACCTTATCATGCACTATTTGAACATAATAACACATTTTCACCATGTATTCATTATAAAATCACATAAACAACCATTTATTCTCACTTTTCACTGATTATTTTTCATAAAACAAGAATTATTCCACATATAATCACATATATGACAAGATTTATGAGAATACAAGTAATAAACATAATAAAATGATAAAGTAGAGCCCCTTTACCTCAAAACAGAGTTTTTACAAAAATTTGACCGAAGATTTAACTCTAGAACAGAGTTTTTCCTAAGAATACCATGAACATCTATAAGAAAAAGAAGAAGAGGAGAAATGAATGATAAATCTAACTTAAAACTTAAAGAAACTTACTTCAAATCTTTTAGAACAGACGTAGAATCACATATCTGAAGATAAATATATGTTTGGAGGGTTTAGTATGAGAGAAAATGGTGAGATATAGTCTTGAAACCTTTGAAAACCTTGGATAAGAGTAAAAAAAATAAAATTTCGTATGAAACTCCCTTTTTATAGAAAATTTTCAAAATTCACTGTTCACGTAAGAAATACTGTTTGCAGTTATTATTACACCGAAAATACTGTGCACGCGTATTATACACGAGCTGTACGCGTACATGATTTTTTTAAAAAAATTATTTATTATTATTTTTAAATATAAATTCCATCTAAATCTATTCCAATTATGCTTTAATAAATCTCATTTTATTTAAATCAAAGTGTAGGATGTTACATATTTCAAAAGTAAAATTTTGATGTACATAAGTGCAAATATTTTTACACTATTAGCTAATTAAAATACATAATAAATATGACTCGTAAAATTATTATAAAAATTAATAATTTTCCGTAATATAGAAATTTTTATTTTGGATCCCCGTTCGTATTATATCTATCCTTTTGAACAGACCGGAAGATTGAAAACAAAACATACCAAAAAGATTATGCCTATTTTTTAATATTTATATATTATGTGCATTTAATTTAATTTAAGTTATTAACTCTATGTGATACTTTGTTTTTTAAAAAGGTAAATTTAGGGCTTAAATATATTTTAAATTTTTGCATTTTTATGAGATTTTAATTCCTGTTATTTTTTATTTTAGTTTATAATTATTTCAATTCAGAATTTTTATCTCTAATAACTATTTGATAATGCGTGAGTAACATAAAAACTATCATGTATAAAATTTTTATACCATGTGTCATTATTTAATATCACTAGAGATAAAAAATTTCCGTTTTAAAAAAATTATACACTAAAAAATAATAAACTAAAATTAAAATTCCATAAACTTATTTTTAAAAATAAAAAACTGTTTTTTTTAATCAAACATAATTTTTTTTCAATTATTTCCAACCATACATGGACCGCGTAAAAAAAGCGAAAAAAACTAATAAAATAAAGTTATGGTGGCACACACAACACAAGTGACCCCTTCCGTTGGTATCTTGCATTCTGCGGCTCTCACTCTGTTATGGAGGCAGTAGCCGTAGGTAAAGTTCTTCCTTTTTCTATGATTTCTCTTTTCGTTGCTTAATCGATTCTATTCTATGCATAATATCTGATTTATGTGCATGATATTTTTAGATATGTTACTGGTAAAAAAAAATTAGAGTTTCCCACATGATTTCCTTAATTTTAATGCCGTAATTACCTTACTATTGGAATCATAAATCTTCTGAGTGTATAAGATTTTAACTCTGGTAAGGCACGGCCTTGTGATCTATAATTTGGGGTCACAATATTGTTTTATTGTCAATGATTTCCCAATTTATACTTAAAGCACTGATCAATAATCAATGTGTGATGTATCTTTAAGATAGTATAGCGCTTCAACATACAAAGAAAAATGATGTTGATCAATTTAAACTAGGACTAGATGGTTCTCAATTAGTTTATGGAAGTTACTGCTGCTGGTGCTGCTCCTTGCATTGAATTTTAGATTTGGTGCATAATTTTGTTATTTTTCATTCATGTTCTTGCTTTTGCGATAGTACTCTGAGATTTTCCCCTTCATGAATTAATTTGTTCACCGCCTTGATATCTCTGTATGAATAATAACGATTAAGGAGGAGATTGTTTTGTTTTGTTTTGTTGGCATATTTACAAATGAATTGTGATTAGATTTTTTTAATTATTTTTTTGTTATGATGAATACTAGCACGTGCTGGTCTGTGTTTTGTATTCAGTTTCAAAGGGAAACCACTAATCTATGACTATGAGAGGTAGGTATTTCCTTGTTTAAACCCCATCAGATGAAATGAAATCCTTCAATAAAATCCCATCACTGACAATTCATTTTGCTGCATAATAGCATGCTTTTAGAAATCTGAACTGGTTGCACTTTTCTTCATTGTCTGGGGACTCATTGAATCTGTCCTCTTCTGACATGGGTGGCTGGGATGTAGTGAGTAACTTTCACAATTTGAAAGATTCAATAATCGCACATAGTTTGTAAATTCCTATATTGATTTGTCTTAAATCCTCTAGAAGAATATCACTGATTTTTATTGCTCCTTAAATTATTTGATAAGACAATGGAAGTATGTCATTCTAGCTATTGGCGAGTGCTTGGTTTGTGAAAAGAACCCGTGTGCTGTTAAATGAGAGTTCGCCAAGGAAAGTATTAAATGGTCTTCATTGAAAATTGCTTTATATAGTTATATTTTCATTCCCACGATATTTCATTGTTTTTGTGATTTCTTGCTAATTTTATACTTCAGATATATACTGGTAGTATATCATGTTGGCATTAAATAAATCTGGCTAGATTGGAATATAGATCCACACTACGTCTGTATCTGCTAAATACCATGTTTATGGTGTTTTGCTCTAATGATTATGGTGGCATTATCACCTATGGTTTAGCTAAAGATACATATGCACAAACAAATAATACTTATTTCTTGCAACTTTTTAAGTAATTTCGGTTTGCAAATTTATGACTTATTGTCACTCTAGATGATATTTGTGTGTTATATTATATTTTTATCTTCAGTGGAATGCAGTGTATTAGGACTGATAATATATAATCAACTATTTGTTTATGGAAATGCATGGAAAGTCTGTTCACTCACTTCATATAGTTTTATGCAGAATTTGGCATTGCACTCTGAAGTTTGAAGAAAGAATATATCAGAACAAAAAAGTCAAGAGAGTTGTATCTGAATGGCAGCTTCCACAAAATCTCTTACAGTTGATAGTTGCACTTCAAATGGAGACTGGACAGTTGTTTTACCTCGTCGTGGCAGACAAAGAAGAAAAGCGACCAAGGTTGGAATTTTGGAAGAGAAACAAGAAGCGTGGACACCGACAGATTCTCAGACTGATCCTATCAGAGAAACAAAATTGATGCAAAAAATGGAAAAATGTATAGCTAAGATTGGGAGCTCTAAGTTCTATCATACTTTCCGAGATCAAATTGAAACATCTGTTTTGGATTACTTCCATAGGGTTTTGGGTTCAGAGATAAAGATGCCAATGATAATTTATGGTATTGGCAGCATTGAATTGTATGAGCCCCCATGCTTGCAACTTAGCCTTGCAATATTGATGAAGAGAGATTTTAGCTGGATTGGAAACATTGAGGTATTTGATCCTATTCTCTCTGTGAGTGAGTCTCGAGTTTTGGAAGCCCTTGGTTGCTGTGTTATATCTATAAATGAGCATGGGAGGCGAGAGGCCATCAAGCCAACCATGTTCTTCATGCCTCACTGTGAAGCAGAGTTATATAACAACCTGTTGCATGCGAATTGGAAACCGGAACTCTTAAGTAACACCGTGATATTTGGGAACAGCTTTGAAACATACGAGCAGCATTTGTCAATTTGTAAGAACTCACCTATTATTAACTCAACGGAGCATATTTTGGCTGTTCGAAGATTTACAAGTGAATTTAGAATCAAAACAGTTTCAGATGATTATTATAATGCTTTCCATGATTCAAGTTGGCATTTTTTCGGTCCTGTCCACGAGGCAGAGCTGCAATTTATCAATTCTTGATGGGGGGTTAGCAGATTAGTGTAGATTCATTTAAAAAGGTGTATTCCTGTATCAATATAATTCAGTTGTACGCCTAGTTGACTTTCTCCTTTTGTCTTCAGTTTCATGTTCCAAATATCCAGCAGAATTGTTCCTGCACTGAGATTTTGTTACAATGAACAAGATAAAAAAACATTGACAATAAACAGGGTGAGAAGAGTAATTTGAGATACTTGTTATTAGCAATAGAGGTTTATACTCTTGGTGCATTGTTTTTTCTGACTGTTTACAGTAGACTAGCATTGACAAGTTGGTGAGATGGGATGGTTCCCATTGTTAGCAGATGCTGAAAAGAAAGAGGGCAAAATGCCCCAAACATAAGATCACCCAATCCCACTGAACAACATTAAATTCCCATGGTCATAGAACAATTAAAAAAGCAGGACCTTCGGCTATGATATGAGGCATCATACTTAAATGGCTGAATGGTGTCTCTAAGCAGGAAGGTACCTCAACACACTGCAAGACTGAAAATGTGAAGTGGCTGTTTGGAACAGTGCTCAACCAATGGAGCAGGGGTTCCAATATGCAATTTATGAAAAATTATTGAGTGCTCTTAGCTACTCACACTGTACCATGTGGATAAATTTTATAATTTAAAAAAATGTGTCACGACTTGAGTGGTTGAAATCATTGATCATATAATAATTACGAGCAATTTATGATTTAGATTAACTCCTTTTATGAATTTCAAAGCTCATCCAACAAAAGCAATTTCATTTTTTTAATACTATTTTTTTCTTTTAAAAATTTATTCACCTAAATTTGCGCTTTATAGGCTTTCCTGAGACGTTTTTAATTAGGTTCAGGTTATCATGTTCAAACACGCTTCTTTGGAGCTTAAGCAAGAATTTGAGCATCTTATGGCTGTCTAAAGCTTATGATACAATCGACCCTACAAAAAGCTTTGGAAAGTTGCTGGGATAATCTACCATTTAGGTCTGAAACTTGCTGCCATAGCTCCCCTTTTACGATTTGGAATGAAAGGTGCATCATAATATCATTAAAACACAACCCATTTCCTCAAAAGAATATCTTGCGTACAACTGGCATCAACTCATAGGATACTTTAGTCAACCTCATAATGCCTGTCCAATGCAACAAAACCATAAAAGTGAAAACAATTAAACTAATCATGGTAAGCAAATTCTTCTAAGATTCCCACTAAGAAAATGGACAAAATTTACCTACAATTCTTAGGTATTTTTTTTATGTTATTAAGTTTAACCTTGATCAGATGCATTTAAGGTAGTTGTGGATCTCTGAAGTAAAATTTTAATCACCAAGGGTTTCTTTCTTTGATGAAACATCTTCTAGTAAGGTTTGTATCAAGCTATATGCTCAACCCAGGGTTTCTTAATCAAATCTCACTTCCGAGAGGGATATTATTTGACTTCTTTTTTTATTGTTTTCTTCCAAATTAATACTGTGATGATGTGCTCAGGCTTAAATTATGTTCTATAAATTATAAAAAAAATATATCCACGTCAAAATGCATCAGCTGGTTATAATTTTTTATAATAAAAGTATTTAATACTTTGCTGTGTGTGTCTGTGTGCAGTGTGAAGCTAAGAAGCATTTCCCATGTTGAGTGAGGAGGGCTTTTCTAACAATAATTTATTTTAATTTAATTATATAACCACCAAAATATAAGGTAATAGTTTTTTTTATAAATTTAAATATAAAAGTGTATGCAAGATAATAAAGAAAAAATTAAGTAATAACTTTTATCTTCAAATTACACTAATTGCAGTAAGGAAAAAAAATATAGTTTATACATTTCTTATTTAATTTTAATCTTAAAATATACACATGGCTGATTATAAAAAAGAATAAATCTACTAAATGTGACACTAAAATAGATTTTCTTTATTTATAAAATAGAAGTTAATTTCCTCCTTAACTGTTAGTTTAATGTAAAATAATGATTAAAGACTATGCACCTAAAAGAAAATGATTAAGATATGATATATTGATATTAGTATAAAACAACAGATTAGGCTTGGCCATCATTTTATCATACCTGACATCGTGTGTGTTCAGTGTTCACATCATGTTTGTATATTCACTTGCGTACTCAATTAAAAAGTAACTGATCACACAACAAGAACAAAATCATGAACAAGCTAAGCCACCCTTTAAATTTGGAAATTCAATCAACATGCTCTATATATATATATATATATATATATATATATATATATATATATATATATATATATTCCTATTCGTTTTAGTTTAAATCTAACTTAGATTGCATACTTAAACGTGATAATTGAATCTACCATTCTAAATTATTTACATTCATATGAAAAGTTATTGTTACTTTAGTTTAAAAAAGAAAAAAAAACTTCAACTTTAAAATACATTAAATGATAATTTACATTAAATCTATTACGTAAATTAATTAAAATGAAATTATTTTAGTTTAATTTTTGAACTTTTAGTTGTGTGTTAAATACTGAAAGAAAAATGTGTTGTATTAAAACATAACACATTTAACATAGAAAAGAGCATGTAAGATTGTGAAATTTGGAAAAAGATCCCATCATATTCAAAATCGAACATGAGAGTCATGTTGGTGTATTTTTGTACGTTCGCTTAAGCGAGCAAAATTTTGCTTAAGCAAAATTACAAAAATACACTAACATGACCCTCATGTTCGATTTTGAATATGAAGAAATCCTGATCCGTGAAATTTAGAATATGTTTGATTTTTCTTTTAAAAAGAAATTTTTATTTTTTTTAAATTCTTTTTAAAAGAAAAATCAAACATACAACTTGTAAAATATATTAATGGATAGATAGTAAATAGTTAAGAAATCGAAGCATGAAAATGGAAATGGTTTTGAGGAGAAAGAAAAAGCATAAGGCTGCTTTTATTAAAAAAGGGTGACATCCCATCATTCATACCAAACACTCAAAAACTCTCGGCTGCATTCTTTTATCAGGTTTTCTAACGTTTCTAATTTATTAATAAAATGTCTTTCTATTTTTTTTAAAATAAATATATTTAAAATTAATATTTTAAAAATAAAAATATAAGTTAATATATCAACATAAATTTAATATATTTATTATATATTTATCATCATAAGTAATATACAATTCTTTTAATTTAAAAATATATAACTTTCTATATATAATTTATATATAACAGACTATACAGCATAATTTATATATAATTTTTAGTAAATTCTATTATTAAAAAAATACACTTGATGAACCGTAAAATAAAATAAATTCATTAGTCTTGAAAAAATGTAAATGTCTAGTAATATACATAAAAAGAATTTCACTTTTTGTTATTTCTAAGAAATTAAAATATATGTTTATCATTGAATTATGTGAAAATTTATTATTTATAAAACAAATATTTAAAATTATTATATAAAGATGAATTTAAAATTATTTAGAAATTGTTTTATATTAAATCTTAGATCCAGTTGTATGATCACTGTTTGTAAGACCTTCAATTTTAATAAAGTTTATGTGCTAAAAAACTTAATTAATCTTTTTATCATTTAAAAATAGTTAAGAAATTAATATAATATTTTCTGTGCAAAATACATTAAGTATTTTAATTTTTTATAAAATGAGAAGTCATATTATGATATATTATTTTATATCAAATATTTGTTAAAGAATCACCATGACATAAATTTTGCATTGAATAAATAAGTAATTTAATTTTTATAATATAATTAAATACTTTATTTTTTAAATATATTATTATCGAATGATATCATTCTGTGTATGTACATATTAACGAATTAAAATAGAATAACGAAACAGGATATTAGAATACACTCAATATTATTTTAATCCATTAAATGTATAAATCATATATAATAAAAATAATATAAAATATTATTTTAAAAACTAGTATGAGATATTAAATTATTATTATTTTGACTACATATACTATTGTTTAAATTTTTATTATGTTTTTTACCTATTATTTTTTAATTTTATAGTGTATTGAAATTTATTTTTATTTCTTACTTTAGATTATTGTAATGTTATTTTATTAAGAGATCTAATTTTTTATAGCCATAAATATATATGTACATATTTAAGTTCACATTTTAAAATTATTTTACGGTAAATTTATCCTTTAATTATTGGTGACCTATGACTAAATTTACTTTTTAGGATTATATTTTACAAATACTGTATCAATCTAATATAACCAATAATTATGATCATGCACTCAAATATTTCATTCATATATTAATATTAAGTTTAGTCTAGTGATACTCAATTCACCAATAGATTATTTTTTATATAAAAATAAAAATTGCCTTAACAATTCTCTTGATAAATTATAAAATATATTATAAAAAATAGATTAACTAATAAAAATTATTTCAACTTAACTTATGATCTTGAGTTTAAATTTAAATAAATATAATTATATTAAATATTAAAAAAAATTATTATCTATAATAGTCACATCTAACTCAAGGCCAAATAAATTATAAAATATCACATTAAGCAAGTTGGGTGAGATGAGCTATATTATTGTTTCAATACTATACTTGTAAGTATTAACAATCTTTTAAAATATAAATGTATTTTGTGTAACTTTTAAATATATTTTTATTTAAATAAATTTATATATATATTATTAATAAAAGTATTTTAGTTAAAAACTACTTAAATAAAAGTAGTAATAAATACATGAGAGTAACAATACACTCTCTTAAAAGCACATTTAGGAGAAATTTTTTAGAAAAGAGAATATATTTCTTAACTTTAAATTAAGAGAATTATATATTATTTATGATAATAAATATATAATTAATATATTAAATTTATATTAATGTGTTATTTTGTATTTTTAGTTTAAAATATTAATTTTAAACATATTTAGTTAAAATAAAAAAATACTCTCTTTTTGCCTCACTTTTAAAATTTTCTTCCAAAAAATTTTCTAAAATATCAACAATGAGTTTTTAATTTTTAAAAAAACATTGTAAAGGAAAATTGTTTATAAAAAAATTATTGAAAACTCTTTACCTGTATTGAAAATATACAGACATTTGAAGAACGTCCATTAAAAAAAAAAAAACATAAAGACATTTTATTAATAAATTATAAACATTTAATACTATATTAAATATTCTTTAATTAGTTTCTTTACTACACCTAACACAACAGATAAATTAATAACCCCACCAACTTTTCGCATGAGACTCTTCCGTGCTATCTCGATTAATTCGAAAGCACACGTTCTCCTTCTATAAAATAATTAAATATTTTTATAACTTTTTAAAATACATATAATAAGAAAAAAAATTTAACATGTTTAATCAGATATAATAAAATATCAATAAATAATATATTTTTATTAAAAATACATCATCTAATATTATTAATATATTTTAATAATAAAATTTTAATATTATAAAATTTAATTTATTAATAATATTCAAAATCATAATTTAAAAAATACTACTAATCAAATTTTTATTTTATATTTTTAAATATATATTAAAAAATCGATAATATAAATTAATTTATATTTAATTTTCGTTATACAAAAGTACAAATTCTTGCCTTCGTTGCTACGACTCTCTCTCTGTCCTTCAAAAGTTGAATTCAAACAAAACAAAAGCAACGAAAACGGTAAGCCAGCTCGTTCTCTCTGCCCCTCCTCCACATAATCCATAACCATCTCTCTCTCTCTTCTCTCTGCAAATCCAAAACGCAGAAAGCAAACTGCTCCAACGACATACACCAACACAATCAACTAACCAACCACAAAACACTATCCTCAAAACGACAACCTACACAAAACAACACATCCACCGTCCATCATCCCCCGCCGCCCCACCGAATCATCCTTTCTTCCCCCACCGTCCCTTCCTTTTTCTTTCAAGGTAACACAAAATATTAATTAAAAAATAAATATCTATTTATTTAATTATTTTCCATGTTTCAAAATTGAACCTTTTTGCGTTGCGTTGTAAACAGGGTCGATGGCAGAACTCGGAAACAACGTCATCAACAACAGCAACAATACGACGTCGTCTAGGTTTCCGTTCTTCAACCGTTCTTTAACGACGGTTCACACGATCAACAAAGAAAAACCGTCGCAGAAACCGCCGCAATTGGAACGCGCGGGTTCGCTCACGAAGTTCGTCGAATCCGCACGCGGCAGCGTTGTCAAGAGGCTCTGCAATTTCTTCGAGCCTCCGAAACCATCTTCGTCGCAAGAATCGCTTCTCCAAAACAAGCCAAAACCCTCAAAATCGGTAGATAACTACGATTCTTCGGAAGGATCGCTTTACGGCAAGGTAAAACCCCCGAAATCGATCAATAGCTCGGATTCGATTCGGTTACCCGGCACGGAGGATCGGATCGTGTTGTATTTCACGAGTTTGCGAGGGATTAGGCGAACCTACGAGGATTGCTACGCGGTTCGGATGATCTTTCGCGGGTTTAGGGTTTGGGTTGATGAGAGAGATATATCGATGGATTCGAATTACAAGAAAGAGTTGATGAGTGTGTTGGGAGAGGAGAAGAAGAAGAACAGTGGACACGTGGCGCTTCCTCAGATTTTTATAAGAGGGAGGTACGTTGGGGGTGCTGACGTCATCAAGCACATGTGTGAGGTGGGTGAGTTGGGGAAGGTTCTAGAAGGGCTTCCAAGGACGAAGGCTGGGTTCATGTGTGAGAGTTGTGGTGATGTGAGGTTCGTGCCTTGTGGGAATTGTAGTGGGAGTAGAAAGGTGTTTGATGAGGATGAAGGGTTGTTGAAGAGGTGTTTGGAGTGTAATGAGAATGGTTTGATTCGGTGTCCTAATTGTTGCTCTTCTTGAAATATTCCAAATTCGTAGCAATGTTTGGTGTTCTGGAAAATTGTAAGTACCAAAATGTGGCTGATGCGGCTGCAATAGTTGAAACCTTGGTGTGTAGTTGGTGTCTTTGTTTTGGACAATTTTAGGTCTTGGTGTGTGATTTGATGAAGGTTTAAGGTTATGTGGTGATTCAAAGTGCTCTTTGAATTTTTTTATGGGTGGTGCTTTCGGTTTGTGTTGTGAGCTGATGATGATTGGTGTCTTTCAGCTCCTTGAACTGCATTTTGTTCAAGAGTGTGATTTTTATTCCCCACAGAAAAAAAATAAAAAAGAAAAGAAAATTACGCAATGGGTTTGAGTATGGCTGTTCTAGTTTTATTCACAGTACCGAGGAGGACTGTTTCCCCTCAAGACAATGTAAATATTTAGTATTATGAACAAAGGCATTTGAAAGTATTAACCATTGAAGTTTATATTGGGAGTGATTTATTTGTTAGTAATTTCTGTGTTTCTTTGTATTTGTTCTTTGATAGCACATTGGTCTTGAATTGCTTTCATTTAGCTTGTTAAAATGCAAAAATGGTTTCTCAGCAGGGACAGGGTTTCTCTTAGTTGGAATTGTAATATGTAGTCTTGTGATTGTAAGGATTAGCAATCAATGACTATTGATTTTACAATGATATCGTATTTAACTATTTTTGTTCCCAAATTTTGTGCCTTTAATTTATCATATCTCCATGTGTGTGTGCATCATTGATTTAATAATGATATGAGGGCATACGACACGTGCTAATAATATTAAATGTCTTTCATGGGGCTTTTAGAGTGACTATTTGTGCTGCTTTGTGAACATCATAGCCAGTTCATGCCAGGTTATTTTGAATGGGCGGTTGTTTTCCAACACCTTAACGCTCTAATCAAGTGCAATTTTAACTGGTGATCAGAACTGATTGGATATTGGCAAATAATGCAGCTAGAGCCGAGTGAATAGCTCCATCTTCGTTTCAGAACATGTTTGTCTCTTTTCTTTTTATATTTACATATAAAAAAGAGAAAAGACCATGGTTAATGATTATTCTTTTCCATAGAAGTTGAGAACAAGTGATTCCATGTACTCTTCGTGCTTCTGATACAAGCCAATGAAGATTCTGCAATGCAAAATCAATACCTTCTGATTTTTTTATTTTTTATTTTAATTTGCAATAATATATTTGCACCCATCATGATGATTCTCGATTTGTCAATGAAGGTTTTAGTTTTTATTTCCATGTTTGATTTTATTGCAAGGTTCCTTTCTATTTCCAAAATAACGTCAAGAGGGAGGATCTAGCCATAGCTGATAATTTGATATATTAGACCGAAGACCAAACCATTAATATTACTATATTCTAGTTTTGACTATGGTAGATGTGTTTTAAGTTCACATCAAAGATAAGATCAAAATTTAGATTAGTCCTACTTGCTCTTTATTTTCTTTCTTTTTGTTATTGTTGTTATTATTATTTAATTTCTTTTGATATGTGAGAGGTGTAATGTAAGCACTTCAAATTTGAATCGGTGTCCACTACTTCTATTTTCTTGAGCTAAAAATCATTTGAATATTTAATCAGATCATATTTCGTAGTCAATAATTGAGTTGGGATCTTGTCCTCTTAACCATTTTGATGGCTGTCTTATTTTCCAAGGCACCCTGAGCTAGAAGTCCAAAGCCAAGTCATCATATTGAATATGACCCTAACTTTCGGCAACTGAGAAATCAGAGGAAGATATAGGGGAGTGGATTCTCATGTTTGCTTGCAAGTGCATGTATAACAGAGTAGAAAGAAAAATCGTAAAAATTAACTTTCTTTCATTTGGAATTTTGGTTATTAAATTATTTATATATTTTGTAATATTTTAGTCGTTTAAAATTTTTATATCAATTTAGTTTTTTTAAAAGATTTTATTTTCATTAACTTAATTCTTTTTTATTGAGGTGTCAACTAAAATTAAATTAAATCTTTCAAACACTGAAACAATAACACAAAAATTAATATGATGATGTTATAATTTTTTCAAATAATTGAAATCATTAAAGCTTTTGAAAAATTGTTCATGTATTGATGGCACGTACTATCTATTTCCATGAAAATTATGTTGTTTCGTCAAGTCCAGTTCATATGTCACTTTGAAGACACTCTTTTTCCTTCATTACAGCAATCGTGTCAAGGATAAATAATGTAACAGTTTTTAACTTTTTCTTTTTTTCAAAGTAATAATGGACTAAACCAATTCTAATTTTGAGGCCTTAAAAAAAAGAAGTAGAAAACAAAAGTAGGTGTAACTTTCCTTTGACATCTTTATGCCTTTGCCTTCACACTGTTTCTGAGGTTTTATGTTGAATCACTGAACGATATGTTTTATCGATAAATCATAATTAAGCACTGTCAAATTACATATAAAATTCATAAACGGCTAAATGGTTAAGTGTAGAACAATAATTATTTTATATTAATTTAATAATTATTAATATACTCTCAAAGATAATTTAGGTCATATACTATTAATATTTTAAAAATAAATTTCTAATGAAATCGTTAAATAATATCAACCTAACGAAACAATGGATGAAACTAAATCGACGTAAGCTATATTAACAATTACATAATTTAATATATTTATTTAAAATTTAATTCTAAAATTAATAATTAAATTAAAATAATTTTATCATATAAATTATATTTATAAAATTTTAAATTAATATAAAATTATTTAAAATCTCATTTTTTATACCTTAAGATTTATGTAATATATATTTTTAAATATATAAAAACAATAATTTATTTACATTCTTATAATTATTTACTTTTTACAAATTTTTATATAAATAATAAAGATAATACATAATTATGATTTAATAGTTAAAGTGATAAAGAATGTATTTTATATAAAATTATTAATAATATAAGAATTAACGTTGGTGTAGTTTAGTCATATTATAATTTTTTAATATAAAATGCATAAAAAAATTTAAATTATTCGTAAAAAGTTAAATTTGTTATATATTACCTAAAATTTTATAGAAAAACAATTTCTTGTCACATAAATTTTGTACTGATAAAAGAAATACTCTAATTTTATTTAAATAAACCTTCTATAATAATTAAAAAAAAACTCATTTTGTTTGTTATTTTTTATTTGAAGGTTTATTTCAATTTCAATAATTTGATTTAACAAATTTGAGTTTGTTTATTTTGACAAAATATTTTTGTTTTTACCTTTTTTAATAAATATTACCTTATTTGCTTAATTTAAATTTATTTTAAATTCTTATAAATATAATTAAATTAAGTTTTAGTCTCACAAATGTTTTTTTTATTGATTCTAGTATTCAAAATTTTTAAAATAGCCCATTTATTGTTTTTCAACAATGTAATATACATTTATTCATCGTACCTTATATATCTAAGTTCCTGCCACTTCATCAATTTAAAAGTAGCTATTTTTAAAACATTTAAAATTTATGAGGACCAATATAAAAAAATTGGAGGACTACAACATCAAATTTAAACATATTTATAGAAATTTAAAATATGTTTTCTCTATTTTATTTAATTTTTAAAGATTTGTTTAGAGAACAATGGAAATAATTGTTTGGTATATAAATATTTAAAAATGAAAAGAAATTAAAAGTAAAGTAAAAGTTTGTTCTTAAAAGAAAAAACTAAAACTAAAACTAAAAAAAAAAAATGTTTCCTCAAATTAAACAAGTCATTAGTTACAATTATTAAATGAATTTTCTTTATTTGCTCAACATACAACGCTTGTATTCCAGTTCTCTTTTTCCTCTCTCTTTGTAATTTTACATATTTTTCTCTCACTCCTTCCACGGGCATATGAAAAATTACAAAAGGTCTCAATTTTATTGGATTCAATACAAATTTAAGATGAAAAATATTACAAAAATTGTCAAATAGGTATCAACTTCATGAATGCATTATCACTTCAAAATAGGTAGAACAATGCTTATTTAGATAATGTAGCTTTGTATTCCGGACCATAAACTAATTAACAAGAAGGAAAAATGTGAAAACTAATGGATAAACATTTTTTAAAAACTATTCCATATAAATCATAATTCATTAATTTATCATCATAATTGTTACAATGATATGAGGCATGACAATTTACATTCATATGTTCCTATGATTTGTGCTCCAAAATGTGTGTTCAGATGAGTTCTTACCCTTAAATGCTATATGGCTACTGAGTAAGAGGAACACACTCAAGTTCAATCTCTAGCACACCTCTTTCAACATTCTGTAGCCTCACTGAGATTTCTTGTTTGATCTTGCCTTCCTCAAGGGATATGATACCATCTTTAACAAGAGTGTTCTCCTTGCTTGCTACAAATTTCCCAATCTGCATGGATTCGTTGATTGAAGATTTCTCATAGGCCTTTGCAGCCAAAACTAGAGGTTGAATGTCTATTTCAGCGTCACCCATAAAATCATCAGTTGAAAATTTATCCTTATCATACACCAGCTGTTCATAAATATACCCAAATAAATCTAATCAATCAAACATGATCGGTGGAGAAAATGACACATAAGCAATATTATCAATAATAGATTAACTTGTTTCCTTCAATAACTCATTTTAAATGAAGCATATTTTTCACACAACATTATAGCTTATCAAGTGAATAAAATAATCTGAAGCCTTATCTCAAATTCAAGGAAAAATGAGACGGTGAATCGATGATAGTGTTGCAACTATTGAAATGATCAATTACAAAAATAACTATATCCAAACTTTCAAAATATTTTCTGCATTCATGAAATTGTTAGTGTTTCATTAATAAAAAAATTTAATCAAGTACACGTATGATTAAGGTACCCAAACACCAATACCAACCATTTATGATTAACAACTAAAAGACAATTGAACTTACCACTTTAAGTGGAGGAATGTTCTCTGGAATTGAGAGCATTAAGCTTTCATTCCAGACTGGATTCAAATTGTTCTTTATGACTCGTGTTTTTACTGACTGCGAAAAAAGATATTGAAGTGTTTCATAATAAGTATTACACACACTGAGAGAGAGAGAGAGAGAGAGATTAAAATAGTTCAAAGATGAAGATGCTCACTTGGTGACCCAAGGAAAGGATGACATAAGGGTCACTGGTTCTTACATCTCGAATGGCTAGGTGAGTGCCTTTAACAACATTAACCTTAATCAATCCAACAAATTCAACCATACCTGCCTATAATGGTTAATGGGATCAATAAGAATAAGAATTAAAGGGAAAAAAAGGAGTCCAACATTTCAATAATTTTGTCATTTCTCTTTTTCTATTTAAGGTAATGTATAAAATGACACATGCATCACATTATAATAATGGTTTCACTCTTAGTTGCTTCTTAATACGACTCTGTAATCAAAAGCACATATAGAAAATAGATGATAAAAATCCACTGTACTAAAGGTATAGTGTTCCGTCATATTAATGTATTATGTACGTTATTATTGTTTATTTCAAACAACATTAATAATACCAAACAAATTTAGATTCTTCTTGTCAGCAAAACATGTCATTATTCAATTTTTCTTTGTTTCTTTTTTCTTTGTTCATGAAAGTGAACCTAAATGGATGATGAAATATCCCTATTCCTAACATTTTCTCTACTCATTTGCTCCCATAAACACCCACAATTTTATCATTTTACAAATTGACATTAAGAATTATGAAAAGATATAGAATTATCTTATGGCTAGATATAACTTATTTACTATGCTCCTTTTTACTTATATTCTTAATAATTTATTTGATTGCAATATTATACGAAAATGAACACCAGTTCATTTGATTTAAATATTCTTAACAACTCATTAAAGAAGAATTTCTTATAAGTCAACTAAAGCCTCTCCTATTCCATTTGGCTAAAAATAGATAAGAGGGGTTGAGTAGTAGTAGTAGTATATAAATTTACTATATAGCATTTTGGTGCTTGTTTCGACAAAGAGCATCTCAGTTAATTTAATATATAGTTGATAGAATGCCATTAATCAAGAAAAATATACCAATGAGGCACTCTTCTTTGGAGCCTTGTGCTCAACCTCTTTTCTTCCCCAACTATTTCGAAATGCATGCCCAATACCATGTCTGCTAATTGGGTGCTTTTCAGATGGTTTCTTGTCCATTATAGAATTGTTGCATGGAGAACTGTTTGGAGCCAATGATAAACTTCTTCCAGGAGGTATAACAGTGACCAATGCCAAACTATCATCAGGCTCCACAAATTGTTGCAACTCATATTTTCTCCTGAAAAACAAACAGTACATTTTTTTTATAATAAGAACGGTGTAATTCCTTCACAAAATAACAATGATTTCCTTTTAATTACCTGATAAAATCAGAACGCTCCTCGATGGATGAATGTGGTTTTGGTTTTTTTATATTACTTGGGAGGCAAGCTTCATACTTCTTATTTAATAATGTATTTCCACCCAACTTTGCTAATGCATCAATTTGTTCCTCACTCCATTCATCTAGCTTTAGTGATAGAACCTATTATAGCCTCAAATTATGTTAGAACTTCTTTTGGTTGTGGGGCAATGCATATATGTAAGCACGAATATGATAGTCTCTTCCCATCACTTTAATGAAGTGCTTCTCTAATAATGACTAAGTACTAATTTTGATTAAAGATTCTTCAGAATATATAGTAACGAAATTGAAATAAACTTCTTGTTAGGTGATTGAAAAACAAATTAAATTGTTTTTAAATCATTAAACTAACAATCTCGAAAAAAACTGCATACGTTATCGTGTTTCCTTTTAATTTTTTATTTTATTGTTAAAACCAAAATAAATTGAACCAAATCACACCTATATAATATAATATTACTTTTTCTATCATATTCTTATTTAAAATTAAGTTTTTCTCTTATCTTTCGTTGCTTTTGTATTAACATGTGATTACTCCTATTTACTTTAAACTATCACATTATCCTCTCAATTGAGTATTACATTCGTTCTTTTCCTTTTTACCAATAAATTTTTCTTACAAGTTCACCCTTTGATTAATTTTTTTTTCTCTATTTTCTGTTTTCTCAACAAACTCACTTCAATTTTGGCCTAATTGAGGCACTCATTTGATCTAAATTAAAAGTTAAATTAAAATTCATGAAAAAATACATATTTGTTTTTTAAAATAAAAGTCATAAAAAACTAAATATAAAATAAAAAACCAATCCTAACTGAATTGTCAAATATCTAATTAATTTGGTTTGATTTTGATATTAAATTCAAATCAAATCAAATTGTATATTATTTGTTTGTTTGATTTGAATGATTTTTTTCACAAGAATTTAACCAAAACTGAATCATGACTACCACTACTTTATATTTATTTTTAACCTACCGATTTTCATTTATCTATTTGTATATTTTTCTTTATCAGTAGTTTAAGATGGTATGTGTTCATTAATTTGATCAAACTTTGACTCCTTTGACATGAAATATTAAGTACTAACAATTTAAATTTATAAAACTTTTTATCTAGCAAGCTTTTACTCTTAATATTTCTCATGTCATATGAAATAAATATTTATAGATTTGCTAATGATTGATGAAAAGAGCAGATAAGAAAGTTTGCCACTAGTTTATATTTTGGAAAGGTAAAAAAATACAAGATATATTGAAATATTTTTGTGAACATAACTTTAGATAAAATAAGAGTATATGTAGAGCCTACATTGAGGCGTGAGTGAACACGTAGCTGGAGTTCTTAAAATAACTGATAATACTAAATATATAATTTTAACATTATTGTTTTAATGTTTGGGTAAATATATTTTCTACAAATATTTATTTATTTATTTATGGTGGGTTGCCAATCCTAACCATAACTTTTTCCAAAAGAAATATTGCCTTATAACAAAGACAATGTCTTTGACAAGTTCCTGTGCAAGCTTTGTTAGAAACATACCTTTGATATGTGGACTCCTAGACTTCTATGTATGCCAGAGCACTTGATACAAATAAATACGCCAAGACTTGAAGATCTGACATGATGTTCACCAAATTTAACAAATCAAAACATGAATAATACAAGCTAATGATTTTATGATAACACATTTCAATGAACTATGATTATAGTGTTCCATATCTTCATAAATTCTTGAGCAATCATTGCACAAATCATCCCAACATGTGATAGCTCAAGAGGTGAGGAAACTATGACTGAGATTGGCTCGGAATGAGAAGCATCCTCTTTTCAGCCAAGAAGTTGGCACAAATATTTGCTTCTCGCAACGAGTGAGACAAAACAACCCTCCATTCTAATATTCTAATATTTGTATTAATTTATTGTTCCAAGTTTGTATAACCATATGTAGTTCTAAATTTCATTATTTTAATGTGAAAATGTGTTGAATTAATAACTATTAAGTTTAACTTGATGATTTCACCGTAAGAATATGGGAACTTGAAAGAACAAACATGATTTTAGACTTGGTTAACAAGCTATCTACACGATTCATTTAGTAAAAATTGACAAGCCATGATCTCCAAAACTTTCTATGACTTCTATAATTACCTAATAAAATCAAATTCTTTACCCTCAATTTAGAACTCAAATCAGTGCTGAAAAAAAAAATCCAGCAACGAAAATAATTTAGTGTTTGCTGTTTAACCCTTATAAAAGATGAATCCAAGAAAAAATTGCTAAAATAGTTAATACATGGGAGGCAGGTGAATGCATTTAAAACTTTTTCTTTATTTGAATATTTAAATGACAATAATTCCTCTACTGTAGATTTATATATTTTGTCAAATGCCAATAGTTTTCTTTTCCATCTTTAAGATATAAATTAAAATGAAAATTTTGATCATAAAAATTCAACTCTTATTTTTTATTAACTAGAAAAAATTATAAATAAAATTTTTGTTCTATCAAACGCACTTGATCTATGACACACTCTACCATTAGTTTTTATTTTTCTTTCAAGATAAATCTTTTACACACCTAATAGATAACAAAAGTAGGTTACCACATAAAATTATTTTCCTATGTATAAGAATACAAAACTTAGCGCTGAAATAGGAAAAAAAAACCTAGTTCACCAAGATAGGAACCACTTCCATATAAATACAAAACAACAAGAATTTTTTGTTACTAGTCTAATTAAGGGTAAATAAGCTTAACGCAAAAAAAAAAAAAAAGTTTTATATTTTAGAGTTAGCTTAGAAAATGAAGGAATTTTGTTTTTTTAGTTTTTCCTAGAAAAACATAGAAATAACACTCAGTTAATGGTCAAAGATAATGTTATATAAACAGCATGATAAATGAACAAACCACATAGACCAAATTCTTATGAAAAAATAAGTAAATACTTACACCCATTTTGGTTCTGGAGTTCCACAATCAGCGCAGAACATATTTCCAGCTTCATGCATCAAATCTGTGAGCCTTTTATGTGGGTCTAGTAATTGGTAAGTATAAAGAAAATGAATATGATATCAGATGACATCTACATTTAATCTTCATTCATTATTATACACTATGAAGTTACATAGACAATGAGTTTTGATCTTCCAATCTCAAATTCTCTCATTATATTATGTAAATCAGGATTGTGCATTGTATAAAGAATATATATTTATTCAATAGTTAGTATAGATTATTTAGTATAGGAATTTTCCAATGGAGGAGCTATGTCCTAAAATGAGTTTTGAAAACTATTAAACATTTTCTACATCCATTATGACTCTTGATGAAGTTTTCCAAGCACATGCATGTATTAATATTTGTCATTTTATTCTAGAAATGAGAAGCTGCATTTTGGGAACAAATTTTTTTTTTCCCTAACTAAAAGCCGAAGAACATTTAATTCTCATCATCATTATTTCACCTTTGATTTATGACATGGCACAGAGCAGGACATTGATCTTACATACCTACTATATCCGAAGAAATGAAAATTAGAAAGTAAACAATCCTATCAACACTCCCAACGATCAAAATAATTGTAAATAACTAAACCAAAATTTTAGTAGCTGCATCCATAGTTACTAAACATTACATATGTCCATTTGAGAGATAGGAAAATGAGAGAAAGAGATGTTAACCTCTTTTCTTGTTTGAATGTTAAAACCGTTCCAAAATGAAGAAATTTGAAAAATATAAGAGGGGAGGGGGGAGGAAGAAAGATGAGGGCATTTAAAATTTCTAAGCCTTTTTAAAAAAAAAAAAAAAAAAAAAAAACTCTCAAACAATAAAAGAAACCTTCTCTTTCCTTTTCCTAAATTGAAATTGCAAACAAGGCCCAAAGAAAATACCCATGTGTTATCTCTTTTCATCCATCAAGTTATTTGTCATTATGTAATTTTTCACAAAAGGAGATGGAAAAAAAGGTTGATTGAAAGCATTCTCCCATACCCATGAATCTGTTATTCTTGTGTACAAAATCAATCATTCAATTAATTATTTTTATGTGTGTGTGAGAGGGGGGAGTGGAATAGTTTAAAAAATATAAATATAAATAAAAATAAAAAGTTCTGACCTAATTCATCTTTTGTACCAGGATTATCATGCTGCATAGACATCTTTGACCACCAATATTTTCAGCTCAAAGGAAGAAATGGTGCTACAATTTGTGACCAATCATATGTTAATTGCTTCTTTCTCTCTCTCTGCATGTAGATACAAGGTATTGCTTATATTAAATCTGGTCATTTTGCACATGACATCGGCAAACCAAAATGAATAACCAAAAGCAATTTCTAAGAGGTTGCAAATGGCAATGGCAATGGCAATAGAAATTCTTACACATAAAAATACATCATTGTCCTCTTTAAGTCTTGAGCATTCAAGGAGAAGCCAATGGCAATTTCTGCATTGAAAACAAACCAAAAGGGTATTAAAAACAAAGATCAAATCAAACAAATCACATTCAATTAATGGATTGTGAATAATTGAAATACCATACCCGGGGCATGAGCCTAGAAATATTCAGAAGCGTCTTTGAGAAAATTAGCTTTTGACAACCATTGAAGACGAAAGCTTCAACTTCAAGAAAAACGAATTGAAAAACGAAAGAAAAAAAATGGATATTCAATCGATAGACAAGCCAAATGGGATGGGATTTTAGGAGTGGCACCAAATCAGAAACTTCAGGGAAATGAGACAGATCATCATTTGCCCTTTTTTTTTCTAACAAACTTGATAATTCTTTATTAATTGTAAATCCTTAGACATCAAAGATCAATGTGAAATTTGCTGTGAAGTCTTTTTTTAACAAATAACTAACTGATTTAACATAATATCGAACATTAATGTGTGCACCTTTGCATGATATGTATTTTGACGTGTAACACAAAGCTTGGAATGCATCAATGAAATATACATTGTCATTACAAGGCTACCCATCCAAAAATAGAATTTTCCATCCTTTTTTTTTAGTCAATTTTAGAAGAAAAAACAAATGTTCTTACGCTGAATAACTTTGAATGTTACTTTAAGAATATCGACAACTTTTTAGCTTTTAACACATTTGTTGCCTTTCGGAAATAAATATCTTCTGCAACATTTAATAATGATATCATTCTTACTGTATTATAATGCTTGATAAAAAGGATATTACTTTCTTTAACATGTCATGATTTGAAGTGAATAATAATAATAAAGATGATGATGATAGCACCTTATATGAAGGTTTTTAAAGTAATTTTGATAGATAATTTGTTAGTTTTTGAGCAATCTCTCAATTGTTGTCAAATTTAATTTTAGACATTTATAATTAAAAAATTAAATTATTCTAAATTTTCTTATTTTTTATGATTATAAATTCTTTTAATTATCAAATAAAACAATTATAAAATATTTTTATATTTTAAAAATAATAAATGTATATATTTTTAATTTAATATTTTTTAAAATAAAAATGATTAGAAAAATTTATCAAAGTTAAAAAAAATGTTAATAATACACTATCTAACACTTTTTTAACATATTTTAACCAATAATTAAAATTTATTAAAAATTATAAAATATGAATGAAAATATTAAATTATGAATAGAAATATTAAATTAAAAATGAAATACATAATTTTTTAAATTATTTTAATCAATTTTATTAAATAATAAAGTGTGGGGAAAAAAAAGTGCGCTAAAAGTGTCTCTAGTATTTATATTTATTTTTTTAAAATCCTAAAGAATTCTGATAATCAATCAACCAGCGAAGACTGCAGTGAAGTTGTATGAACACTAAGCGCCAGTTGTGTATTCTGATTTGCGCAAATTTTCCTTTACGTTCCCTCGCATCGTAGTATAGCTACTTCTGCAGCAAAACTCACCCAATGAAGTATGAAAGTGCCATCCAAAACCCCATACCCTTCATTCTCTCTCTCCAACGATTAATTTCAATGTTTCAATTCATGTCATGCGTTGTTCTCTGGATTCCTGTATTTGACTGTTTTGGTTGAATAAATTTTGTTGAAAATACAAATTGGAACTTTGGAAGAAGGGACAGGAGTTTTTAAGTGGTTAAAGGTCATTGAACTTTTGAATGCCATTGGTTGATTCTAACAACAGTTTTTTGTTATATACATTATTCTTTTTGTAGTTTACATTTCCTGTTTTGACCGCTGCGTTCTAACTGGTTTAATTCATTTTGTTATCAAACAGTGCAGATGCCAAATTCAGTCTGTTTTGGCGCGGGGGGGTTGGATGATAAAATTCATGGAGTTGTGCTAGCCTATGATTGTTTCTGAATGATTTGAGGTTTTTGTTTTTTCTTTTAAATTTCTTGGAAGTATTTATTCAACTGTTTTTTTTTTTCTTTCTAGTTATTTTGTAATTCAACTGTATCTTAAAGGTTGGTTACATTTCTTAAATCTTAGATTTAGTCCAAAAACAAATTTGGCGTGCATGTCATAAGTTGCATAGGACTAGATTTGTTGGGGCTTTCTAACCACCTAATTAACAGGCATAGAAGAATCAGAATCAGGTAGCTTAGTTTGTGTGTGTGTGGGTGCATGAGAAGTGGATGCAGACTCATCACTATCAGTGTAAGGTTGTCAAGCACTAGTTCTGAATGTTATCCATATTCCTTGTGTTCATAGCTATTTTTTTAACCAATAGGCCTCTTGAGTTATACTATGTTGGATATGCTGTGAGAATTGTCTGATTCTGTGATATAACCTATGCTGTGACCTCTGAGAAATATTATGATTAAATCTATGCTAGTGGTTGAGCTAAAAGTTTCAGATCATGTATTTCCGTACTTATACATGTCTTAAAATTTATAATTGATAATGTTGCTTACTGATTGACACAGCTTGTCCCTAAGCTCTTGAATAATTCTTGAAGCACATTGAGAAAGACACATCAATGGAGTCTTTAGTTCTTCAACTTCATGAAATCTCAGCTGTCAAATTTGGCAACTTTAAGCTCAAATCTGGCATCTCCTCCCCAATCTACATAGACCTACGCCTTGTTATATCTTACCCTTCCATCCTTCGGAAAATTTCTCAAACTCTTGTTTCCTCCGTCTCTTCCACATCATTTGACCTTGTCTGTGGTGTCCCTTACACTGCTCTACCCATTGCCACATGTGTCTCTGTCACTCAGAACATCCCTATGGTCATGCGCCGCAAGGAAATAAAAGATTATGGCACTTCTAAAGCCATTGAAGGTGATTTCAAGCATGGCCAAAGTTGCTTGATCATTGAGGATCTAGTTACCAGTGGCACATCAGTTTTGGAAACTGCGGCACCACTGCGTGCTGCAGGGTTGAAGGTCAGTGATGCTGTTGTTTTGATTGATAGAGAGCAAGGTGGGAGAGAGAATTTGGAGAGTAATGGAATCAAGCTGCATGCAATTCTTAAATTGACTGAAATGGTGGGAATTTTGAGGGAAAAAGGAAAGCTAGATGAGCAGATGCTAGGGGTTGTTATGAGATTCTTAGAAGAGAATCAGAAGGTTGCTGCTTTGGCAACTAAAGCCAAGGTTAAGGCCTTATCATTTTTGGAGAGAGCTAAGTTGTCCAAGAATCCAACGGGAAAGAGATTGTTTGAGATAATGGTTGAAAAGGAGAGTAATCTGTGTTTGGCTGCTGATGTTGGAACTGCAGCTGAATTGCTTGAAATTGCTGACAAGGTAAGAACTTGGTATTTATACAATGTGGGAAAATTTTTAATTAGTCTCTGGCATTTTGTTTGATCTCTTATTAGTAGTGAAAGTGTTGGAGAGGGTTCTTAATTTGAAAAATGGGTTGTAAATTCTAGTATTGTAGACTTGTAGTTAGAAGTTTCGTCCTCATGAATAAACTATTTAAATTAATTGGATTATTCTTTCCTGTCAGGTTGGGCCTGAGATATGCTTGCTGAAAACTCATGTCGATATTTTGCCAGATTTTACTCCTGATTTTGGTTCTAAGCTTCGCTTGGTAAAGTGCTAAAGAAACCTTTTTTGCTTTTCAATAGAGCAGAACAAATGTTTGCGTTCTGATATTGCTAACCTTTATAGGCTGGAGTAGATTTGCTAAACTTATTATAGAAACTAGGACGCTGATGCCTTGACTTTAACCAATAATAAGTCTTATCGGAGTATCGGACTATGTGCTACATTTTTACTGAGTTTTGAGGAATCTACATTTCTGGTTTAGTTGTTTCTATTCTAATATGTGCTTTATTCTGTTGAAGATTGCAGAAAAACATAACTTCTTAATTTTTGAGGATCGTAAATTCGCTGACATTGGTAACACAGTGACCATGCAGTATGAAGGGTAAGACTTTCCTACCTATTATGGATTCTTATTCTGCATCCTTTCTTCTGTTTCTTCTTTTAACATAACATCTTTCTGTTCTGATGTCTGCAGAGGGATCTTTCATATATTGGATTGGGCTGATATAGTAAATGCTCACATTATCTCTGGTCCTGGAATTGTGGAAGGACTGAAATTGAAGGTCTGTGATCTATAATACTAGTTATATAGAACATTATCTTGACTGTAGCCAGACCAAAAATGCTAGCCTAACCTGTCTTGTGCATCATACTTAGGGTTTGCCTCGTGGAAGGGGTCTATTGCTGCTTGCGGAAATGAGTTCAGCTGGTAACCTTGCCAAGGGAGCTTACACCACTGCTGCAGTGAACATTGCTGAGGATCATTCTGACTTTGTTATTGGCTTCATCTCAGTCAATCCAGAATCATGGCCTGGGGCATCCATGAATCCTTCTTTCATTCATGCAACTCCTGGAGTTCAAATGGTGACAGGTGGTGATGCTTTAGGGCAGCAATATAACACTCCACATTCTGTAAGTTTATGCATATTGCCATGCGTATCTATTAGTCATTTTCATAAATTAACCGTATGCATTGTCCATCACTTACTCAAAAATTTAATTTGATAGGTGAAAGACCATAAATGGTTTTATATCTAACACCCCTTTCATGCAAGAGCCCTGTGGGAGAGGCAATAAACAGATTCTTGACCACTTGGTCATAGAGTCTCTGATAGCATGTCTTAGAACTGGTGCAGCTAGGAAAGGAAAAGATTGAATTGTATTACTGTGAATGAACAAGAACACAGTCCTGTACCCAAAGTATGTGCAGACTGTAATGCCAGAAATATTCAAGAGGTCCTGGGTATTCCCCTACACAAGATTTTTCACTCACAAAAGACCCCGCAATTCTCCTAAGTCTGACCCTTATTATAACAAACATCCCTTATAACTACCTCCTAACTGCCTCTTGATTATGAGCTAACTGATTGTATCTCTAGCTTGGGCCTAAACATTAACTGGCCCACTCTTCCCTTTTCCTAGAATATACTCCTTATTATGGGCTTATTACTATTATCAGTCACCAACTCTCCCAAAAGCTTGAGGTTTTAGGTGAAGGCTTATGAATGGCCTTATATCTAACGTGTGAAGAAACTTTACTTTAATATAGTTGCTCTTTTATTCTTTCTTAGGTCTAAAAGAATTTTGCTAGAGAAAAAAAATATAAAGGGAAGGGGAGAGAGAGGGTGAATAGTCTGTGACTCTTACAAGCGGATATGATTATACCTCCTGCATTGAGCTGGAAATGAAGCTGAATTCAATAAAAAAGAGTTGTTAATGTTTATCTTGGTAACTTGACGTCATCAGATTTGATATGTATCTTTAATTATAGTGGACATGGATCTGTGGATATTCTGGGGCTAGTAAATTTTACCATTACTTTTGAGTAGAAATGAAATGATACAAAATGAATTATTGGTTTTCTTTGGATTCTTTTTCTAGGATCTAACTTGTATGTCTGTATTTCAAACTTTTTGTTTTTAAATGATAGTCATACTGTTCATTTTAAGTTTATTTTTGTGTCATACTTTACCTTCTAGATAACTCAGTTGTGTTAGAGATGGTACTTCTCCCACCCACCCCCTAATCTTCGTGTGTTGAAAATACCCTAATGCAGCATTTCTTTCTGCTCCTTTGTTCTGTTTTGCACACGCATGCTCTTCCAATTCGAGCTTACTATTATTAACAATTAACCAAATGTTTTTCCAGGTTGTCTATGATAGGGGTAGTGACATTATCATAGTCGGCCGTGGCATCATCAAGGCAGCAAATCCGGCTGAGGCAGCTCGCGAATACCGTCTTCAAGGATGGAGTGCATACTTGGGAAGTGCCCATTTTGTTTGCAAGAGATATTTCATTTCATATCAGTTTATGAATAACATCTGGACATGAAAGCAGCCATGGAGTTTTGTTTTGTTTTCTTCTTCTTAGCCCCCCTGCCCCTTTGGCTAGAAAATAATTGCAGTTCAGCTTTCTGGATCTTTACCAGAAGTGTTTCATTTTCCTCTGCATGTAATTGGTTGAATAATAATTTTGACATTATTCTTTTACTCCTTTTCTGTCATGGGACAAAACCAATGCATAGCATTCATTGTAAATCTTACGTATTGTTAATTCAAGTGGAAATCAATTTCTGAATATTAACTGGTTTTGTGTACTTGAAATATATTGCCGGGATATTATTTATTAAAGATTTAAAATCAATTTCTAAATTTGTAAATAAGCCCTTAAATAAAATAAATATTTTTAAAAATATTCATGTCGTTAACTTCTGTTATAACGTTACTATTTCATAGTTAAATATTTTTATTTATTTTAATTTTTATGCATAACACATTTTCATTGTGGTTCTTATACATAATACAATTTTTATTTTAGTTCTTATATAAAAAATATTTAAATTATAGGGATTTAAATAAATTAATTGCTTGGAGCAAATTGAAAAAAAAAAATATTATGCATAGAGACTAAAATAAAACTTATTATCAAAATAAGTTGAAAAATATTATAGTGATTTATGATTGATTAAAAAGATTATTTATTGATTTTAAACAATTTTGTTGTAACTTAATATGGTTATGAAGATTTTTATGTGAAGATGATTAATATTTAAATAAAAAATATTTTATTTTTATTCATTATAAAGATCATAAAGAGATAATGTGAATCAATTTTTAAGTATCATAGTCATTAAATACAATCAATTATGGTAGTTTGCTTATTTTACGAATAAAACTTGAATACAATTCTTTAGGTGTTGTTCTTTAATTAAAATTAAAATTTCATCTCAATAATCAACTGTATTAAAGGTTGATATTAATTTTAAAGATAAATTTTTTATTTTAATTAAAGAAAACTTTCAAAAGTATTTAAGGTATGACATAATTTTATATTCTATAATTTTTTTAAAAATACCAAAAAATAACATTAAAATACTTTTTAAGCCAACTCTCAAACATTATCTTCTCATAATAATGTTTATAATCACATTAATCTATAATTATGTTGTTTAAAGTTAATAAATGAATCACTATAATAATTTTCAACTTATTTTGATGATGAATTTTATTTTAGCCTTTGTAAACATATTTTTTCATTTTAATTCATATACATAACATATTTTTTTTTTTTATTATTGTTATAGCAGTTTTTCTTTTAATTTTGATCCTTGTATTTTAAATATTTTTTCATATAAAGAATAGAATAAAAATTATTATGTATGGAGAATAAAATAAAAAACATTAAAATATAAAGTAACATTGTTATTAGGGACTATTTTGAAATGTATTTGTATTTAGTAATTAGTTTGTAAAAATTGAATCAATAACATAAGTTCTAAAATAACATTTAAACTTTTATTGAAACTAAATGCAAGATTTATGTTCACCTTCAATCATTATGGCATATCACATGTAAGTAATAGAATGCTATAAATCTTCATAAAAAAACTAAGTACTAAATGGTGACAAGTTTTTTTTTTTTTTTAAGTAAACAAAGCTAAAAAGCCCAAAGACAGTAAAGGTCTAAGAAATACATCTAGGATACCATGAATCTAAAGCATCTATATTTAAGAAAGGATATAAGTAAGGGGGGCTTATCGAAGTAATAAAAAGGCATCTTACAACCAGCCTAAACTTTAACAAGTCAATTAGCATATTGATTTGTTTCTCTAAGAACATGACAGAATTTTATAAAGCGAATACCTTTGAACAAGATCCTAATCTCTCTAATTATATAAAACAGAAGGTGATTATAATCAAGAATAGCCTCTTTTGAGTCACTCTCAATCCAGACTATCTAAAAGTTCTTTAGGACAAGATTGATTTTCCAATAAATCTTCCAAAGTTCAGCAGCAAGAGGAAGACAAGGATCCAAGGCACCATAAAACCTAGCAAGGAGTGTACTATGATTGTCACAAATAAGGCTACCACATCCAGCAAACCCAACACTTTGAGAAGTAGACCCGTCCACATTCATCTTGAACTGCAGGTGAAGAAACAACTGTCATTTAACCAAGCTTTGAGTTCCCATAAGAGTAGATCCAATCTTTAGATTCTACACGCCACATATCTAAAAAAAAAAAATTAGCATCATGCATAATCTTCAGCAATAAAGAATCAGTATTCAAGGGGGAGCTTTGGGATATAAAGTTATTTCTATTCCTCCATAAATTTCAGACAACCATACCAAAAAGGGTATTCTAGTGAGGGTAATTTTAGAAGTTGTAAGGAGGCAGGTTGTATTCCAGCTAACTAATCAGTTATCAAGAAAAATTAATTTATCCCAGACCTATTTAGCAAACCAACAATCCCTAAGGACATGAATGACAAATTCATCAACATCTCTACACCTAGAACAATCAGGAGAATTGGCCATACCACGACTAACCCGCTCAGTATTTGTTAGCAACTTGCCATGAGCAACTTTCCAAAAGGAATATTGAGATTTTAGGAGGACCCTCCCACTTCCAAACAAGGTTAAAGGTGCTATAACGGTTTTCCTCACCTTCCTCATAAGGGGCAATCAAGTTATAAGCAGACTTAATGGAAAAAAGACCATTCATAGCATGTTTCTAGTACAAAAGGTCCTGGCTCTCATCCAACCTAGGGGGAAGGGATTTGACTAATGGATTCACAAAGAGAAGCAGGCAGCAGGGACCTAGCTACCTTGGGTAGAGAAAAAGGCAATAGGCATATTCAACTCATTAGCTAGGATAGATTGTAAGGCAAAATTAGAAATGTTATAATACTTAAAAACTCAATTGTCCTTTAATAGTCGAGTCATTCCCTAAAATCCAGCGTTACCCTTTATAGAAGGGGGGTCCTGACCGACAACATACTCTTCCATAAAGAACAGTAATTTTGACTATTCCTAGAACAAGGAGATTTGTCCAAAATAAATTTGTATTTTTTAAATAAAACCTGAGCCCATAATTCATTAGGGAAGGTTATAAGCCTCTATCACAACTTCATAATGTATAAGCTTAATTGACAAGGTTAATATTTTTAAAACTCAAACCCTTTTCCTCCTTACGCTTACAAATTTTCTTCTAACTAATTAGATGACACTTTCTATTACCCAAAGACTTCTAGATAAACTTTTTGCAAATATTATCAACCTCTCTGCACACAGATTTGAGGATAATTAAGGATTGCATAAAGTAGGTTGATATGCTCATAATGAAGGACTGAAAAAGAAGGACTTTACCTACCATGAAAAGGGATTTCATTTTCCAAAATGAGAACTTCTTCCTAACCTTATCAACTATAAATGAAAAGTCCTGTCTAGATGGGGTAAGATGGCTAATGGGGATACCTAAATATTTTTCAAACTAAGAAATCATAGAATTACAGTTTCTTAAAAAGTAAATTCCAAACTTATCCTTATTAATTGAAAGACTAGAAATAGAACATGAATCACTAAAGGCCTTGCCTATGATTGTCATCACAAAAATCACTAAGGGCCTTGCCTATCACATTAGCAAATAGAATTATATCATTAGCAAAGAAAAGATGTGATAGCCTATGTCCATGATTACTAAAGAGAAAAGGAGTCCAGCTTCCATTGAAAACTTCATTATGAATACTAGAAAGATTATGTTTTGTATAAATACTCATTCAAATTGAAAACAAACAAGCTAAATACCGTTTTCAAATATTAAAAAATTCTTAAGATATGCAATAAATTGACAAATATAGCAACTGAGAATATAATCGTAGCTTGTTCCTGTGCGACGCAGTAAACAAATCTAGTGTTAACTTTATGGTTCTTTAATCGTAGCTTGTGCGCCTATAACATTTTTTTCAATTGCTCTTTATCATTGACGTTCATAGCACAAAAAGAATATATATGGAGCACGTTAAGGTTCTACATCTCTATTGCGTAATTATCATAATGATAAGAGGTACAACTTCCTGCTCATGTATTTAATGATGCAAGGATAAGCAAAGAGAGTTTGCCTCCTAAATTACAAAACACAATTACATGATCAGAAGGTACATTTAACTACAAGAAAGGAGTTGCACTACAAACTATCAACCTAAATATTATGGCTAGTTGAATAAGGAAATCAACTCTCCATTCACTGTTCTTTCCAAATCCTACCAGTAACCCTTAGCTTCAATTCCTTCCGGTCACCCCCTGAGAAGAAAAGGGCCATATTCCTCTGAATAATGAGACCATCAAAACAGTCACGAACCTTGCGGTGGCTGTCCCTGATGCTTCTAGGAACCCCTTGCCAAATCATCTTCCTCCCATTTCCACCTACTTCTAAACTGTAGCTATAATTCTTTGCCTCATTATCATCACCCATAAACCTCAAAAAGGCTATGTAGACAGGAGCCATTCCTAGCTGAAAAGCTTCAAAATGTAGACAAAAATACTGACCAAAGCAGCTGAATACCTAGAAACCAATGTGAAATCCATAAATTAGCTTAAACTCAAATTTTGGTTAAGTTAATATTTTCAAGGCCCTTGTACAGAAACCTAGGGAGGCTAAGAGGCAGTGTTGTAAGTTAGTTCGATCAGAATACAACTTTTGAATAACATCAGTTTCCAAAAGGTTTCAGAAATGGCAATATTTGATTTTTCTTGTTTAAGCAAATGATGAATTCTATATTCTCATTAACTGATGAAAGACACATGTAGATCCATACATGTCCTAAAATTACAAAATCTACCAACAGTAGTGAATTTACTGAGACAACAGAAGGCAGGTTGAAAAAAAAGTTCAGCAAAACAATACCGTTAACATCCACGTGGCATTTTCAACTTCTTGTGGATTGGATTTGACATAGCGATGGTTAAAAGTGCTACCATTGTGCATATCTACTTTGTGGTCATCTTTTAGATGAGCCACTAGGTAGGGTATATCACCCATAATAGAGCATTCTGAACCAGCATATGGACAGTTATAAGGTCGATATGCACAT